GGTATGAGCCACCACAGGGCTTTTTTTTTTTTTTTTTGGTAAATAGTTGGGGAAAACTGAAAAAAGGAGCAGTTTTGTGCAGGCAGATAATAAGTTGGAGATTTCTGGAGAATCCAAGTGGAGATATCAAAGAGGCAGCTGGAGGTCCAAGGATGAACCTGGAGGAGTAATCAGGGCTGGAAGGGTCAAAGCCAGTGGAGTGGCAATTCAGAGAACAGATATGGAGTGTGCACATGCACACAGGCTCAGTTGTCCCTGTCCTGTCCCAGCCTGGCATCATTGACACCCTCTGGCCCCTTCTGCTCTGCCTGGCTTTCCATGTCTCCCCCCAACCCTGCTGATTTTGATACACTCTAAGGGCTTCTTACCTAGGGTACAAGGATCCTTCCAGGATGGGAGAATCACTACTTTTGAAATCCTTCCCGTAATCCAATTTGTAAAACTCTGATAAATTGCACTTTATCAAAATTAAAAATTTATGCTCTGTGAAGGGCATTGCTCAGAGAATGAAAAGACAAGCTGCAGTGTGGGAGAAATATTTGCAAATCACAAATCCAACAAAGGACTTGTATTCAGATTACATAAAGAAATGTAAAGTTCCACTGTGAGGAAAAAAATCCAATGAACAAATGGCAAAAGAAAGCAACACATCGCCCAAGCAGACATTCGAACCGGCAACTGGTCCTAGGTTGCCACCACAAAGCACTACAATGCTGGGGGCTTGAAGAGACAGACATTTCTCTCTCACACATCTGGAGGCCAGAGTCCAGAATCAAAGGTATTGACAGGGCCACACGTTCTCTTCTAGCTTCTGGTGGTTGTCTTTGCCTGAGCTGCTCTGTGTGTGTCTACTTCTCTCTCTCGTTTTGTTTTTGAGACAGGTCTCTCTGTGTAGCCCACACTGTTCTTGAATTTATAATCTTCCCACCTCCCAAGTGCTGAGATTATAGTATGCACCACCATGCCCAGCACTCTTTTTTTCTTTCTTCTTTCCTTCTTCCTTCCTTCCTTCCTTTTTCTCTCTCTTTCTTTCCTTTCTTTCTCTCTTTCTCTTTATTTTCTTTCTTTCTGTCTTTCTTTCCTCTTTCCTTCCCTCTTCTTTTTTTAAAATAAATTTTTATTAGGCTATATTCATTATACAGGGGGAGATTCATTGTGACAATTCCAATTAGACTTACATTGTACATTAGTTACATTCCCCCATCGTCTCTTCCCCTCAGCCCCCTCCTCACTCCACTTAAAGCAATTGCAGGAGGTTTCTTGGTTCTATTTCATATAGGTATATGAAGCCCATCAACCGTATACTGTTACCTTTATCTCCTTCCTTCACCCTCCCCTGTCCCACACGTACCCCCCCACGCACACTGTACCCATTTTAGAGTTCTGTTTTTTATTATTAATATTTAAGTTGATGTTCAAAGGGGTGTCTCAATGTGTGCCCACTGTGGGTGTGCTTTACTTTGGTCCATTCAACAACTACTTCTTCCTCCTTCTCCTCCTGTTTTAGTATAGCAGGATAAGGTAGGACGAGTGGGGAGAAAAAAGAGAAACGTTTCTTGTTCCCCACACAGGCAATGGAAGTAAAGCACTCCTCCCTTGTGAAGATATTATTCATACTGAATTAGGACCCACTCTAATTAACCTGAATGAGATCTTGTCTTAATTGCTTACATTTGCACAGGGGTTACTTCCAAATCACATCACACTCACAGGCAACAGGATGAGGACCTCCACCCACAGAAGAAAACAGGTACAGGAAAAGGGCTTGTGGAATGGGTCAAGTGGTAGAGTGCCTGCCTAGCAAATTCGAGGCCCTGAGTTCAAACCCCAGTACCGCCAAAAAAAAAAAATACAGGAAAAGTGTCAATATCTTAGATCATTAGAGGAATCAAATTAAAGCCATTATGATTATTTCAATGACTAAAATTTTAAAAGTACTGAGAACACCAAACAGCCACTCTGAGAAGCAGTTTGACAGGTACTTAACTTGCATTTCCCTCCTAGGGATTGAAAAAGGGTTTCTTCCAGAGAACGAAAAACGTTCGTCTATAAGCAGCCTGTACACAAGTGAGCACAGCTCCTTCTTCTGTAATTGTCCTAAGCTGGACACAACTATGATTCAGTACTAAAAAGTAACAGGGCTGGGGGTGTAGCTCTGGTTAAGGCTTCCCTAGCATTTGCAAGGTTCTGAAATCCAACAGCTTTAGCTATCAAGGCTGTTATGTTGAATGAAAAAGTCAGTCTCAAAGGTAATACACTGAGTCCATTTATAACATCCTTCAAATGGCAAAATTATAGCGATGGAGAACAGATGAATGGTTATTGGGGCAGGAGGGGTGGGGAAGCATGAAGGGATGAAGGAATGTTCTGTGTCTGATTGAGGTGGTGATAACCAGAATCTGTGCAGTAATAAAAGTTAAAGAACTAAACTGGACTTGGGGTGCATACCTGTAATACTAGCACTCCAGAGACTGAGGCAGGATGACCTGGAGTTGGAGACCAGCCTGGGCTACATAATCTCAAAAATAAATAAACAAACAAATAAACCAATATATAAATAAAATAAAGCAAAAAGTTATAGAAGTAGATACCAAAAGCCAAACCAAACCAAAAGCAAGTGTAAGCAAAAGCTGGTGAATTCCGAGTAAGGTCTGTAGTGTCCTACCAATGTCAGCTTCCTGGTTTCAGTTGTACTACATTGGGGAGGGGGAGACGCAAACAATCTATACACATGTAAGTAAATGTAAAAACGATAAAAGGAAAAAAGAAAAAAAATTGTACTATGTTTATGTAAGATGCTAACATTGGAGAAAGTCAGGGGAAGGGGAACATTTTCTATAATTTTTTTTTTTTTTGTGGTACTGGGGCTTGAACTCAGGGCCTATACTTTGAGCCACTCCACCAGGCCTTTTTTTGTGATGGGTTTTTTCTGAGACAGGGTCTTTTGAACTATTCACCCAGGCTGGCTTCGAACCGCGATCCTCCTGATCTCTGCTAGGATTACAGGTGTGAGTCCCCGGAGCTCGGTCTCATTTTCTGTATTAGTAAAGCAACACCTGTGAGTCTAAATTCTTTCTGAAAATGTATTTTTTTTTTCTTTTTGAGGTATGAGAGTTTGGTTGCTAGGCGGGTGCTATACCCTTGAACCACATTCCCAGCCCTCATTATTTATTTTTTGATGGTACTGGGATTTGAACTCAGGGCCTCACACTTGCTAGGTAGGTGTCTACCACTTGACCGCTTCTCCAGGCCTTGTTTTGTGTTGGATATTTTCAAGAGAGTGTCTCTTGAACTATTTGTCAGGGGCTGGCTTTGAATAGCAATCGGCCTGATCTCTGCCTCCCTTTTTTACTATAGTTATTTTTTATATAGTGTCTTGCGTTTTGCCTGGGTGTCCTCAGACCGCCACTCTCCTACCAATGCCTCCCACATAGCTGGGATCACAGATATGCACCACTATACCTACCCTTTGCCCAGACTGGCCTCAAACTACAATCCTCCCAATCTGTCTCCTGAGTAGTTGGGATGACAGGCGTGCACCACCACATCTGGCTGTTGTTTTTTTCCTTTTTAAAATGGAGTTACTACTAATGTTCACTTTGTGAGGCTGCTATGAGGAATATGTGAGCTGATCCTTCTGGGGAAGGTAGATACTTAGGGTACAGGGTGCTGCGTTCTGGGGGAGACTGACAAATATACCAGGGACACCACATGTACACAAACAGGTTGATTTCATGGAGATCATGTGGTTAGGGGAGGCCTTGATAGCTCAGCATGGGAGGTGACCCAAGGGACAACAAGAAACCTCAAGGCCAAGGGCACCAAGATGAAAGAACGGAGAGACCCAGGGATCCAGAGAGATCCAGAAACCAGACACATCAAGAAACTCAGAGACTCAGAGATCCAAGACAACACAAAGACGCCAAGAAATTCAGAGGTGTCCTTAGAGACCCAAAGATTGAGAACTCCTGAGACCCTGCCCCAGCAAGTCACACCTGTGAATTCAAATGTGCCACCAGCCCTGGCTGCCCAGGCCCCGTTTTCTGGTTCAGCATCATGGCGTCTCCGCTTTTGCAAAGGGGAAGGGGGTCCAGCCAGCCTGCCTTCACCCCTCTTGCAGGTGAGGAAGCATTGAGATGCTTCTACCCAGGGTAGCTGCAGCTGCAAGGCGAGTGGTACTGGATTCACTGGGAGAGGTGGGAGGTGAGTCGAGCCCCGCCCTCTTCCCAGGAGGGCCTTGATTGGTGGAGGGGCGGGGCGGGGCCACTCTCGGGGTATATAAAGGCTCTAGCGCGTGTGGCGCGTTGTCGTGAAGGTAACTCGGGTTCAAGTGGGTTTTCTTGCGAGAGGAGGCTGCTTGTGCTGGCTTAGGTAGAGGGCTCCGGACTGATGGACGGCAACTTCTACTGAGCCCCTGAGTTGGCATCTCTCTGAGCAGCTTGAAATGTTGAAAGAAGCTCTACTTCAACTTGCTCTAAACCCAAGTATTTGATTTCATTCTCTCTTTGGGCCTCAGTTTCCCCTCTATGTAGGGGGTCGGTGGCCCTTTCAACTTCCTGCTTTGGTACCGGAGGTTCTGAAAGTTGGGGGGCAAGAGGAACAGTTAAAACTCTTGGGCTCCACCTTTACTTGGCTGTGAACCCTCAGAGCTTTGCAAAATGGGTCTTCTGTTATAACTCCTGCCAGGAAGGAAGAAGAAAATGCTCTTGAAGCTTCTCGTACCTTCTCTCACAGCTCCCGGCACTTAGGAAGTCCTCAGTGTGCTTGCTGTAGCTGTTACTCTCAGGCCTGCCTGGGGTGCCAGGAGGTGGCTGTAGGTGCACCAACTGACATCAGGTCTTACTCCTTGCCTGGCTTCCCCATCACATGTATGCCATGTGTCCTCTGTTTGGAACCAGCCCCCGAGTCTCTGCACCCTGTCCTCCATCTTCCTGGTCCTCTGTGCCGCCAGCCTCACCACCCTCCTTGACTTGTGGGGGCTAAGGAGCTAAGTCCTGAAGGTGTCTCCACAGATCATTCCTTCCGACTCCGTGGTGCCCCACCCCTGTTCCCTATGAGATGAGTGATGACCAAGACTCTGCCAGTGTGCCTGTGGTTATCACCCAGGTGAAGCTGGGGGACTGCAGCTGGCAAGGTGGGGACAATGGGTTGCTCCATGCCTGCCAGGACCAGGAGCTCCAGACCTTCCTCCACCTTCTGGGTGAGTTCACTTGGGAGAGAGCTGACTGTGGGCCAAATGTGCAAACAGATGTGATCAATGGGATCTGTCCCATCCAGCTAGGACAGAGGGGTCCTGGCCCCTCTCCTTCTCAGTTGACCCAGGTTTGGCAGCTGGGAGGATCTCGTGTAGATTTAGAGATGGCTTGGCCTTTGGTGCTCTGATGGCACTGACTCTAGGAAGGGGTGACCTTGGGTCCCTTGTTTCTCTTATCTGCCTCTAGAGGACAGTTTTTTCCAGAGTTTCCTCTCCAAAGACCCCTGCTTCCACATTTCAGATAAGGTGAGGGAGCACAGTGGAGGTAGAGACTGGTGTCATAAGGTCAATTAGTGGAGATTGGGTGCTGCTGGTTCCCCTGGTCTGATGGGAGAGCCCCTCATTTTCCCCTCTTAAATACTTATTTTTGAAGACCCCTGCCCCATTGTACTCTGACTTTTCTTCCCTGAACCAAAACTTCTTGGGTGTGGGGCTGGCAGAATGGTTCAAGTGGTAGAGTGCCTGCCTAGCAAGCATGAGGCCCTAAGTTCAAACCCAAATACAACCAAAACAAACAAACAAAAACTTCTTGGGTGTGAGTGAGCCTGGCACCCCAGGGGCCAAGTTTGCCTCCCTCCCCACGTCCACTGCAGTACTTCCTGGCCGCGGTGTTGGTCTACTTCCAGCACATCTGCCTGCCACTTGGCCAGTACAGCAGCCTGTTCTTGGCACTATGTGTGGCGGGGTGAGCCACTGAGGCACTGGAGGAGGGAGGATGGGTCAGGGCAGAGGCCATAGACTTGACCACCCCCCTCCCCTGTGGCTAGGTTCCTTGCAAATGACATGAAGGAAGACTTGGAGGAACCCAAATGTGAGATTTTATCATGGGGCCTGGGAGAAGCTTGGTGTTCCCGGGTGGGCAGGTCCCTGCATCAGAGGGACACCCTGTGGGCATGGATGGGCTTTCTGGGCTGCCATGAGCCACTGGTGCTGTGAGGAGGTGAGGCTGGGCCAGCATCCTGGGGTGGGGTGGGTCACCACCCCATACACTGTCCACTCTGCTCCTTTCAGGCCATGGCCAAAGAGCTGACCCACTGGGCCTGGACATGGGAGCAGTGCCTCCACCATGGTGGTGTTCAGAGGGGCTTCCCTCAAGTCTCTGACCCCTTCTCCTGGGGCCCCAGCCACTCACACCCATACTGTGCCCTATGTGGCTTGCCCCAGCACCGTAACCACCACCCCCTGCCTGTGTCATCTACATGTCCTTCCCTGCCAAAATTTCCTGTCAGTGCTCAAGAGCCCCTGGGGGCAGGGGTGGTGATGGAGGACTTCCTCATTGTCCTGCCCTCCTAGATGCAACTGGAGCCAGGTACTACACCTTCCTCAGTGAGTTGGGGACAGGAGCCGGGGGTTGGCCTGGCAGCCAGGAGGCAGAAGTGGGATGGGAGGGACTTGGTGGGTGGGTGGGGGGGTTGTTCAGCTCTGCTCTCCTGCTGTGGGAGGAGATTCCCCTGTGAGCCTCACTCTGTCACCCTCAGTCTTCTCTAAGCCTCTGCCATGTCCTAGGCTCTGACCTCCAGAGGGTGAAGAGCTACCCGTCTGCTTGCCAACTGACCAGTGCTCTACCACCAGAGGTGTCTTCACCCTGGCCTCCTGCTTTGTGGGCCTCAGGCTGGCAGCACTGCCCCTTCCTCCTGACCTGTAACATGTATCCACTCTGCGCCTGGCCCTGCTAATGAAATGTGTCCATAAGACACCAAATTTGTTTTGTTTTGTTTGAGACAAGGTCTCCCTACATAGCCTCAGCTGGCCTTGACCTCACAAGCCTCCTGCCTCAGCCTCCCAAGTAGTGGGATTCCAGGTGTGTACCAGCATGCACAGCTCTGGCCTGATTATTGTTTTACAGTACAGGAGCTTGAACTCAGGGACTACACGTTGAACCACTCTGCCAGCCTTTTTTTTTTGTGATGGATTTTTTCAAGATAGGGTCTCAAATTATTTGCCTGGGCTGGCTTCAAACCATGATCCTCCCAATCTGTGCCTCTTGAGTAGCTAGGATTATAGGCATAAGACACCAGCACCCAGCTCTAGTCTGAATTCTTGACTTGGGTGGTGGGTGGAGAAGGCTAGGGGTTGCTGTCAGGGTTAGGACTTGTAAACACAGGCTCTGTACCTAGTCTGCCCCTTCCTACTGGTGGCCAGTTGTTGTCATCCTGAGCCTCAGTTTCCCACTGTAACATCTATCACCTGTGAATGATGAGTTCTGCACAGTGTAGAGGGGACTAAATGACTGGGGTATAGACAGCCCTTACAGGAGAGGCCAGAACTTACTGGAAAAGCTCCAATGGCAAAGAGCTCTATAACCAGTCTAGAAAGTGCCTCAGGGCCAGGTTCATTTAGGAATAAGACTGGGTCCCTTCCCTGGGCTGCAATCAAATATAATGTAGTGATTATTATACTACAACCACCACCCCCTCCCTCCCAAAAAGACACATGACAGCTCAAAAGAGTAAATTTTAGGGCTGGGATATAGCTTAGTGATAAGAGTGTGCTGAGCACATTCAAGCCCCTGAGCTCCTCAGTACCACAAAATAAAATAAAAAGATAAATAGAATTAAATAAAATTCTTAATGGAGGGGAGGTGGCATTTGAGCCTGGGTATTCATGGAAATACAGTCTAGAGCAGTTATTAAGACAGTCTTGCTGGGCACTGTGGCTGACACCTACAATCCCAGCTACTTGGGAAGTAGAGAGTGGCAGGATTGAGGTTAAATGCCAGTCAGGCAAAAATTTAGCCAGACTTCATCTCGACCAATAATCTGGGTGTGGTGGTGCCCACCTGCCGTCCCAGCTACTCCACTAGGAGAAGCCAGGTCCAGGCCAACCCGGGGAAAACGGGAAGACTCGGTGAAAAACAAAAAAAAACCCTGGAGCCAAACAGTTTGAATTCAAATTGTTTAATCTCCCCAGGCCTCTACTGTGTTCTACTAAAATGAGTGCTGTGAGATTTGAACATGTCACAGCATCTGTGAGCTGAGCGGAGGTGACTCAGGCTGACAGTAGGGGGCACTGCTGCCTTAGAGGCTGGCAAGGAGGGCTTGTTCAGGGGATGGCTGGGACAGAGGGTGGGGAAGGCTGGAGGGTCTAACCAAGGTCAGATTACCCTGCAGCCTGGAGCTCAAAGATGTCAGAAGCCAACATAAAGATGAAAAGTATTTTTGTTTTTCAAGTAGGTGACATTAACAGGGACATCTTGAACCAAGAGTTTCCCTCACAGCCACCTCTTTCCCTGAGCTGGAAGCAATGAGTATTTATGTCCTTTTAGGGTCACAGTCTAAATAGTCATAATCAAAGGTGGCATAATTTATCCTCCACCCCTGGGCCTCCTAAAACCTATAGAACTTTCTGAGTGGTAGAATATCTTCTGTTGTTCATACAAGTCCCTGAGTAATATCTAAGGAGAGTACACTGAGTTTATGCTACTGGTGGAGGGGGAGCTAGTCATCAGAAGACCCATGGAGAGGGTGGGAACTCCAGGGTGGGGGGTGCTGGAGATTGAGTGATAAGAGTTTAAACATGCAGAGGTGCTGGGAGGGGAGGAGGCCCCTGAAACTCTTGTGTATTCCCACCCATACCTGGAACTTGCTGTGTAGCTCAGGCTGATCTCCAATTTGTTATTCTTCTGTTTTGGTCTCCTGAGTGCTGAGATTAAAGGTGAGAGCCACCTCATCTGTCTACTCTTTTTTCTTAATTCTGTGTTTTGTTTTGTTGAGACAGAGTTTTGTATATAATCCCAGGCTGGCCTGGAACTTGCTCTGTAGCTTAGGTTAGACTCAAACTCTTGATCCTCCTGCCCGCAGCCTGGGTATTCATGGAAATGCAATCTTCTGACTTTATAAACACCTTCATATCCAGTGTAAGGTATCTGCTCCTGGCCTCTACTTTCAGGTGGCAGCAATGACCAGTGTCCCCCATGGAGCACCTCTATTGAGCACTGACCCAAAGGTACCTGCCACCTTAGCACATTTCTTGTTAGTAAAAATGAATTGGGTAACTAATAAAGAATAGAGGTTTATTTGGCTTACAGTCCTGGAGGCTGGGAACCCCGGTCATAGCAGAGGCATCTGGTGAGGGCCGCCTTGCTTCATCACAATATGGCAGAGGACATCACATGGTGAGCCAGAGCAAGCATGCCAGCTCCTTTCACTTCCTCTTCTAACACCCCATCATGGCACCCACCCTTAGGACGTCATCTACCCCAAAGGTTCTACCTCCACATGACATCGACATATGAACTTGACGATCAAATTGCTAACAAGAAATTTGGGGGGACAGATTGAAACCATAGCACACCCCAAACTTGCTCCTCCACTCTACTCAGGGCTTACTCCAGATCAAGGGTCTAGAGTTATCTCTGACCCCTCCCTGTCTCCCAAGAGCCATATCTAACCGGTGATTAAGTTGCTATTGCTGTTTTTAATAACTTTATTGAGGTGGAATTGCCATACAATAAACCACACATATTTAAAGTGGCGATCTTGTTTGGACGTATGTGCTCTTCTATGAAATCATTACCACAGTCAGGACAGTGTCCTCTCCACAAAGCTTCCTCAAGCCCCTTGGTATCTCTTCTCCCACCTGCCAGCCTCCCCTCTCCCAACCACCGACCTGTTCTGTCACTACAGTAGTATGCATTTTCTAGAATTTTCACATAAATGATACAATTATAAAGTGTGTACTTTGGTCTGGCTCACACTTTAATAAAAGTATTTTCACATTCATATACTGTTCCTTTTTTACTGCCGAGTAGTACTCCATTGTGTATATATACCACACCGTTTTTAAATTATCACTATCAATAAACATTTGTCTATTCTAAGCCAGGCTGGTGGCCCATGCCTATAATCCTAGCTACTCAGGAGGCAGCGATCAGGAGGATCACAGTTCGAAACCAGCCTGGGCAAAAAGTTCACAAGACCCTATCTCAAAAAAACCCTTCATAAAAAGGGCTGGCAGAGGGCTCAAGGTAAAGACTCTGAGTTCAAGTCCTGTTACCACAAAAAAAATTGTTGATTCTAATTTTGGGCTATCATGATTATGGTGAACCTGCTATGAATCCTTGTATACAAATCTTAATAGGTTTTCATTTCTCTTTGGTAAAGGCTTAGGGGTGGAATGGCTGGGTCATATACTAGGTCATGATCATTTAATATATATATTTTTTGGTTTTCATTCATGGTTCCTGGCTCCTAACTCCCTCCAGGGCAAGCCACAGAAACTAAAGTAAGTTTCTCCCCAAGTGGCCTAGATACTTAAATTTCTTTTTTCTTTTTTTGTGGTACTGGGGTTTGAACTCAGGGCCTCATGCTTGCTAGGCAGGTGCTTAACTTTCTATATTGGAACTGGCTGAACAGGAACTCTCTGACCTAGGTTGTTTGGTAGTAGCTCATAAGGCCCCCACTTCACTTCAGAAGGGTCCTGATCCACTCACTGAATGGAGGCTTGAGCAGAGAGGCCTTAGGTTTCCCGGCTTAGTCTGCTAGCATTGGATTACACCCTTTCTGTCCAGCTATATTTCTGCATAGTTGTCCATGTTTCAACCATGCTGACATAGGCTCCAGAACACCCCAAAAGGACAGAACTTGCACACATGGAGTTCCTGGGGAGGGCCAGGAGACTTCCCCTCTCCCCTGTGCCTTTCCTGATACATCTCTTCAAATCCTTTGTCATTTCCTTGATAACTGGTAGACATCTTTCCCTGAGCTCTGGGAGCTGCTTGAGTAAATTAGTTGAACCCAAGGAGGGGATTGCAGGAACAGCGATGGACAGTCAGTGATCAGAAGCACAGATCACAACCTGGGGCATGTGACTGGCATCTGGTGGCAGGGGGGAGGGGGTGGGAAGGGTGGGGTGTGGGGGGGTGCAGGCAGTCTTCAGGACTCAGCCCTCAACCCCAGGGATCTGATGCTGTCCTGGGAAGATAGCATCAGAACTGAATTCAACTGGGGACATGAGGCTGGTGCTGGCTGCAGAGCCGACTGCTGCCTGGGGAAGTCCTCCACATCTGGCATCAGAGGCCTTCTAGCTGGTGAGCATCTAGAAGGAGAATGTGAGTCTTTGTTTTTTATTTTTTCTTAAACAAACACTCCTAGGTGTTTAAGTTCTTTTCTCTCTCTCTTTTTTTTTTTGCCATACTGAGGTTTGAACTTACATCCTACACCTTGAGTCACACTTTTTTTGTGATGGGCTTTTTTTCTGAGGTAAGGACTTGCAAACTATGTGTCCAGGCTGGCTTTGAACCACAATCCTCCTGACCTCTGCCTTCTTAGTAACTAGGATTACAGGCATAAGCCACTGGCACCCAGCTGTTATTTTCTTCTTTAAAAGACTAATTTTTAGTTTTAGATTTGCAGGGAAATTGCTAAGAAAGGCAGAGTTGCCTTATTCCCTCTCTCCCTCCAGCAGTTAATCCTGGTATTAACATCCTAAGCACTTAAGAGGCAGAGGCAGGAGGATCGTGGGTTTGAGGTCAGCCTGGGCTACTACATAGTAAGACCCTGTCCTGTGGGGTGGGGGGGAAAACAGCTAGAAGCGAGTGACTCATACCTGTAATCCTAGCTACTTGGAAGGCTGAGACTGGGAGGATTGCAGTTTGAGGCTAGCCAGAGGAAACAGTAAAATAACCAGAGCAAAGTGCTGGTGGAGTGGCTCAAGTGGCAGAGTGCCTGCCTAGCAAGCATGAGGCCCTGAGTTCAAACCCCAGTACAGCCAAAAGAGAAAAATAATAAGTCCCAAGGCAAAATAACCACAGCAGGGGGGTGGAGGGAAGAAATGACCCAAACAATGTGTGCACATGTGAATAAACAAATCTAAAAAAAACCACAGCAAAATGGACTGCAGGTGTAGCTTAAGTGGTGGAGCCACAGGAAAAAAAAAAAAAAAAGAACAAAAACCCACAGAGATCAGGATTGAGGTTCGAAGCCAGCCCCAGGGCAAACAGTTCAAGAGACCCTAACTCAAAAACAACCCATCACAAAAAAAAAAAATGGCGGTGGAGTGGCTCAAGTGGTAGAGCACCTGCTTGTTCCTGCCTAGCAAGCGTGAAGACCTGAGTTTAAATCCCAACACCACAAAAAAACAAAAAAACCCTATCTTGTATAGTGTGGTAAAAAAATACTATCTTGTGTAGTATAGTATATTTGTTACAATTGATGAAGTAATGTTGATGCTATTAACTAAAGCCCAAAGTTTATATTAGGGTCCATTCTTAGTGTTGTATGGTCTGTGAGTCTGGCCAAATGGGGAATGTCATGTGTGTACCATTACAGTAACACAGAGTGGTTTCACTGCCCTAGAAATGCCCTGTGCTCCACCTAATCATCCCTCTCCCCTCTTCTAGAATGGAATCACACAAAAAATATATTGCTTTTTCAAACTGGCTTCTTTCACTTAGCAAGATGCATTGAAGGTCACACCCTTTTTGTGAAGTTTGATAACTCATTTCTTTCCTTTTGTTTGTTTTGTTTTGTGTTTGACAGGGTTTCACTATGTAGCCCAGGTTACCCTTGAACTCCAGAAATCCTCCTGCCTCAGCCTCCCTTGTACTGAGATTACATGAATGAATCACCACACCTGGCACTCACTTCCTCATTTCTTTCTTGCACTGAATTTTCTTTTACTTTTTTGTGGTACTTGAGTTTGAACTCAGGGCCTCATGGTTGTGCTCTAACACTTGAGTCACAGTGCCAGCTCTTTCTTTGTGTTTGGTATTTTTGAGATATGGTCTCACTTTTGTTCCTGGGCTGGCCTTGAACCCTGATTCTCCTGATCTCTGCCTCTTCAGTAGCTCGGATTCCAGGTGTGAGCCACCACCACTCTGCTTTTATCACTGAATTTTTTTTAAATTTATCACTGATTTTTAAAGAAACTATAGTATCACAACTCTAAAGAACCTGTGGCTACTTTCACTTTGTTGGAGAAGGCTGGAGCCAGAAAGGCCATCACCTCTGCCCCTCTGCTGATGTCTCCTATGTATTATGGGCATGAACTGTGAGAAGTCAACTCCCTTAAGACTGTCAGCAATGCTTTCTTAGCCAACTGCTTAGCCCTTTGGCCAAGGTCATCCATGACAATTTTGGCATTGTGACAGGACTCATGACCACAAATCTATGCTATCCCTGCCATTCAGAAGACAGTGAATTACCTCTTTTGGAAACTGTGGCTTGATGACTTCCCAGAATATCATCACTGCATCCAGTGGCAATGTCAGTGTGAGGCCCCTGAGCTGAAAGTGAAGTTCATTCAAATAACCTTCCATGTATCCAACCACAATGTGTCAGCTGTGGGTCTGACTTGCTATCTGGAAAATGTTGCTAAAGATGACATCAAGAAGGTGATGAAGCAAGCATCAGAGGACCCCTGGGCTACACTGAGGGCCATGTTATTTCCTGTGGCTTTCATGGGGACACCCACTCTTTCACCTTCTACACGGGCTGGCATTGTCCTGAATGACCACTTTGTCAAGCTCTCTTCCTGGTATGACAATGAATTTGACTGCAGCAACAGGGCGGTGAACCTTATGGTTCACCAAAGAGTCAGAGCCCTGGGCCACCAGCCTCAGCTAGAACCCAAGAGGAAGAGAGAGGCCCTTAGCAGCTGGGGAGTTCCTACCCCCACTCAGTCCCTCAACACACAGCATCTCTCCTCCTCACAGTGTCCAGCCCAGGCCCCTGAAGAAGGGGAGGGGCTTAGGAAGCCCTACCTGGTCATCAATTAAGCTGTGCAGACCTCCCCTCAAAACAAAACAAAACAAAACAAAACTTGCCACCTCCTTAGTCTGAGCCACTCTTCTCTGTCCCTGGACATTTGCAGCGTTCCTTTATCTGGATGAGCTGTGGGGCTCTGACACCCCCTTTAACCCACTCCTATGCAGCCTTCTCCTAGTTTCTTCTCTTAGTGTAGAATGAAATCTACACTCTTGGCCCACTCAGCTCTGCCACTCTCCCCTTCCTCCCTTCCTTCCTTTCTCTCTGATTAAGCAGCCCCAAGAATACTTCAGTTCCTCCACCTGCCAAAACCTTGCAGGCAATTGCCCTGCCTGGTATCTCCCCCACCCCTGCCATAACTCTCAGGGTCTGCTGGATATCCACTTTATCACCTGCACTAGATCCATGAGGCGCTCCCTCCACACTGACTCTTCATCCCAGTTAACCATGGGTGCAAAGCTGGTTTCACCTCTGCCTCCTTCAGAGGGGACCAGATCAATGGGTCTTCACCATCTTATGACCAGGTGACCAAGTGTCTGCCCTGCATATACAGGAGATGTGTATTTCAGTGCCCATTTCAGGAAAGTCAAATGAAGCCAGCTCTTATTTTTTTGGGGGGGGGAGAGAACGGGGGGGGGGTTGGTTAGGGACCCTAGAATCCCAGGAAAACTATGCACTGTGCACTGTTTTCCCAGCAGCATGCTTGGCTTTACATCCTTTACAGCCTGCAGTAGCTGCCGAGCTGGGACCTCCTATAATGGTGGCTGGGGGATCGCCGCAGTTTCCGCACCCCACCCCCCACGCCCTTCCCCGGCTTTCCCATCTCTAGGCAGAATCTGTGGGTCTCTGGTGGAGCTGCCATCATGCTTGGGGCCTCTGTCGCCCTCTCCTGGGGAAGGGGGCACAAAGGCGCGCCCAGGTGGGTGGTCCGAGGGCCCTGGGGGAGAGGGCAAGGGCGACCACCTCCCAAGAAAGAACAAGGTGGGCTCCCACCTTTTCTCCTCTCCATCCCATCCGCTGCAGTAACACGGAAATCAAGGCGGAGCAGACGGACTTACCCAAGGTCACGCAGCAACCCCGACCTTCCAGGCCTGCCCCCTGCGCCCCACCCGGACGCACCGAGCCGCTGAGGCAGGGTGTTGGCTCTCCGGCCTGCGCCCCAGGGCGCGGGGGTGGGATGGGGGCGGGGACCCGGCCCATCTCCCGAGCCGGGCTGCGGCGGGGACTGGCCGGGGTGGGGCTGTCGTTTGCCTAGTGTCCCGCAGGGGCCCGCCCGCTGCCAGCCGGGTCCCTCCATCGAGCAGCTGTCGCAGCCCGAGGTAATCTCAGCCCCGCGCTGGGGGCGGGCGGGAGGATGAGGACAGCTGCGGCCGCGCAGCGTGGAGCGAGGGGCGCGGGGGCGGAGGAGGCGGGCAGGGGGCTGCGGAGAATCCCCGCGGGGAGGACAGCGTGGGGTGTGGCCGCCCGCCCTGCAACTCGAGCTGCTGCCCCTAGTTAAAAATACCCCCTGCCCTGCCCTCTCCTCCGCTGCCCTCCCCCGCGGTGCCCTTCCGTCCAGGCCCTGCCCTCCTCACCCCGACAGGCGGCTTGCCCCTCCCCGAGGACAACCCTCCCTTTTACGAATTTGTCCTCTCTGAGTTGGCCCTGGGCCTGCAGAGGGAGGGACGGGGAGACACCATGAGTAAGAGATAGTCAAAGACGGCGCCCGAGAGATAAGAGGGAGCGGAGAGGAAGCGGGGTAGGAGCCCTAGGAGGAGGAGGAGAAGGAAGGAGGGAGGTACGAGGGCGGAGGGGCGGTGGAGGAGGGCGGGGAGGAGCGCTCTTCCTGGTTGGGCCCTGCCCTGAACTGCCACCAAGGAAGCCAGCGCGGGGACCGCAGCGATCCCCCAAACCCTCCTCCCCCAGGTAAGGAGTTAGGTGGCTGAGCCGCGATTCTCTGATCCGGGCCACTGCTCCCAGGCTGAGGGGCTGCCCCAGATCGGCCCCTACTCAGGGCCCTCTGAGTGCCTGGGCCAGGGGCGGGGGGGGGGGTCGAGAAGCGGCACAGCCCTGGCGCTTGCCCAACCTGTGCTGGTCACAACCTCCGCTCGCCACTGCCTCCAGGCACTAGCCTAGAGCCCAAAGCTCTGATCTCTCAGCCTGTCTCAGGAGCCTGGGGGCAGGCCCTTGCCTGAAGTTTTCAGTCCCCAAGGCAAAAAGGGGCCTTTAAGCCCAGAGCTTGACTAGTTTGAGGAGAGGGAATTATAGTTAGGCAAACAGGGTCAAGAGACCTTCCTTGGGATACCACACATAACCTTGTTGTTATGGAAGGGCTCCGCCCTACCCCACCTGGCCTGCTGACTGACCACAGAATTGCAGGCTGAGGACAATGGAAGTAAGGGAAAGGAGAGGTGGTGGTCAGGGTACCTGGGAACTGGGGAGGCCCCTTCTCTGATTCTGGAAGTCTAACGAGGTGGCTGAGAGCCCAGAATGCTTGTGTCTACAGGATGGCAGAGGAGTTCATTATACCCGTGTACTGCACCGGGGTGTCAGCCCAAGTGCAGAAGCAACGGGCCAAGGATTTGGGCCTGGGCCGCCATGAAAATGCCATCAAGTATCTGGGCCAGGACTATGAGCAGCTGCGGGCACAGTGCCTACAGAGTGGGTCCCTATTCCGTGATGAAGCCTTCCCCCCAGTGCCCCAGAGCCTGGGCTTCAAGGATCTAGGTCCCAACTCCTCCAAGACCTATGGCATCAAGTGGAAGCGTCCCATGGTGAGAGGGGCCACCCTGGGTGGGACTCAGCTGACCCTCATTCCTGGGTGAAGAGTGGGACTGGGACTCCAACCCCTGGTGTCAAGTGGGGTCTTGGTGGCTGGGTGCCAGTTTCTAGGAGGGACTGGCTCAGGGACAGGACTCTGCGTGTCATAGGAACTGCTGTCAAACCCCCAGTTCATCGTGGATGGAGCCACCCGCACAGACATCTGCCAGGGAGCGCTGGGTAGGCCCACGGGCAGGGCTCTGGGTGTTTTTCCCATTGTAGTTCCCTATTCCCATTCCTTTGGGCACTACCCCAACTCCTCCCTCCTTGCAAGTCTAGGCAGGCTTTGGCTATCAGCACTGGTGCTGGTTTGCCCAGATTCCTGGGTCTTTTCTGACCTGCCCCCAGGCTCCTGAGATCTGAGGGGAGTAGAGGGGCACCCAGGGAATCTCAGGTTCTCCCTGGCATCAGCACCCACACGCACCATCTATGGGCAGATCCATACAGCAGGTCTGATACGGTCTTTCCCGTTCCAGGGGACTGCTGGCTCCTGGCTGCCATCGCCTCCCTCACCCTCAATGACACCCTCCTGCACCGAGTAGTTCCACATGGCCAGAGCTTCCAGGATGGTTACGCAGGCATCTTCCATTTTCAGGTGACAGATACTGCACCCCCTGGGGAGGAGGGTAGTAGGCACTGGGGGGGAGATGCGGACAGATGTCCTACAGAACTCTGAAGTTAGAGTAGCCACACCCTGCTGGGTAGCCCTCCCTCTGGAAGGTATTTGACCTCTCGGTGCCATCTCTGCTCTGTCATGTGTGAATGGTGGGGCAGGTATTTCAGTTGGCAGTTTTCCTGGGTGATAAAGGGAGAAAGGGGTGGAAGGGTAGAAAGACTTCTGTGTTACATCCTGAGGGACAAATCATTTCCCCGACCCAGGCCTCAGTTTCCCCATCTGAGAAGAGGAAGTGTTTTTCTGGGGGAAAACATAGGGCCATCTGCATTTGTCACCCTTCTGTCTCTCAACGGTTGCACTTTGGCACCTCTGGCAGAGCCAACAGAAAAGAAAGACCCAGGATTTGGTCTGTTTAAACCAGCTTTTCCTGACGTTAGTGACAGAGCCTTTGTTGTTGTTGTTCTACCAGTGAATTCTCAATGAGCTGGTGCTGAGAGGGACACCCCAGCAACTTTGGTTGAGACTCTCCTGCCCTAGTGGTCCCAGCCATGCCCAGAGGAGTCCTGGGCGTCCCCTCCTCCCACCTTGTGAGGAGCCCCTTCCTCCACTCTAAACTCCCCGCCTCTTGTAGGAAACTTGCAGCCTTACACAGCGCAAAGCCACGTAGGGTGAGCTCTGCACCTGGTGCCCTGTTGTAGTCTGCATGGGCGTGGCCTCCCCGCCCCTCTCCCCGCCCCCTTCTCACTCCTCCAATCCACTTCTTCCCGGCCTCTGATTGGCTCACTCAACACTTCTCCCCAACTGCAGCTCCTTGGGTCCTCCTCCCCTGTTCCTCATTGTTCTGACCTGCGTCCCTCCTACCAGGGACAATGGAAGCATCTGGCCCCAGGAACCCTGGGCCTGAGCCCCCACCCCTTCTTCTATCCGAGAAACCTGCCCCTTGGCATCGCTGAAGCAAATCCCATGATTGCGGGGAAATAGCCCCGCCCATCTTGTGGTGGAAGTGTCTGGTTGCCACATTTTCATTCTTCATACGATGTATCTCCCAAACCCAACATCCATGCCTAGGGGCATGGCCATAAAAACGGATTTGGGAGAGAAACCAGGCCAAAAGGCTCCGTACCTTAGCCACATGAGGGAGCCACCTTGGTCTGTTTTCCAGCTGTGCTAAAAGCTTTACTGCTTGGTCTTGTTTGCCTTTCATATGAAGAAGCTGCGACTGCTCCCTTTAATGCGTAAGGAAATTGGGGCTCAGGGATTCCTTGCCCAGCATCGTGTACTCAGTACAGTTGTCCCATGGTATCCTCAGGGAATTCCAGGACTCCCACAGATACCAAAATCTTTGGATGCTTTACTCCTTTATATAAAAATGTTGCAGTCCCCAGTACTGGCAAAAAAAAAAAAAAAAAAGTGTCTTTAAAAATGTAACAATTGCTTATAACCCACCTACACCCTCTATTTATTACATCTCTAGTTCACTTGTAATACAATGTGAACGCCCTGTAAATAGTTATGCTGTATTACTTAGGCAATATTGACAAGGAAAAAATGTGTTCGTGTTCAGTATGCATGCAATTTTCTTTTCAAATATTTTCAATCTGCCTTGGGTTGAGTCCATGAATGCAGAACCTGTAGGTTGGAGGACTGACTCAGGAATTATGTGTCTAGTAAGTGCAGAGCTGAGGCTGGAGTTCAAGCCTGGGGAATCCCAAAGAACATACTCACTGCATCCCTTCCCCACAGCTGTGGCAATTTGGGGAGTGGGTAGATGTGGTTGTGGACGACCTGCTGCCCACAAAGGACGGGAAGCTGGTGTTTGTGCACTCTGCCCAAGGAAATGAGTTCTGGAGCGCCCTGCTTGAGAAAGCCTATGCCAAGTGAGTAGGGACCCAGGGGACAGCTTCAGCCCCCCTGGGGTGGGTGTGCCTGGCATTCTTACCTGGCCCTGCTTGATGCCACAGCGCTGACCTGGAGCTGCCCACAGGGTGAACGGCAGCTATGAGGCCTTGTCGGGGGGCAGCACCTCAGAGGGCTTTGAGGACTTCACAGGCGGTGTCACTGAGTGGTACGAGCTGCGCAAGGCCCAGCGACCTCTACCAAATCATCCTTAAGGCGCTGGAGCGAGGATCCCTAATGGGCTGCTCCATTGACGTGAGTGTGTCCAGCCTCACCCTCACCCCAGACCCCCCTTCACCTTAGTACCATCTCTGGAAGCACCCCCAACTTCATCCATCACTTCCCTCCCATCTTCCACCTCTACACCCAGTGTCCTTCCTGTCCCCGCTCCTTCCCCCAAACCTCCCCAGTTGGCTCCATCCTTTCCTTCTTTCTTCCTCCCTCACTGAGTCCTTCTGGGGGCTGTGCTGGCTGTATGTGTGCGCATTCACTGTTCACACAGGCTGGCCAGTCCTAGTCTGTCACTGTCAGGCTGACACTGGGCTGATGGCATCTATACATGATGATGGAGTGGATGGAGTTAGGTCTCTGTCTGTCATTGCCAACACGTGTTGTATGGGATGGGGTAACCAAGATCTATGAGTGCTTCAGGCGGGTTAAGGTGGCAAGCCGCCTATCCACAGTGCATGTGTCTTTCTGCAGATCTCCAGTGTCCTGGACATGGAGGCCATCACCTTTAAGAAGCTGGTGAAGGGTCACGCGTACTCTGTAACCGGAGCCAAGCAGGTACTACCTTGGGTGGAGCCTGGGGCGGGGCCTGGGCCGTCACCACCTCCCTGCCTGTCCTTGTCTGTCTGGCATCTGACCAGATGGGAGGTGCTTGCTCTGGTGACCTCCCTGAAGTACCTTATCTCTCCCCTGGGACACCCATCCTGAGATGCTTATCCATGCTTACTCTGATTGGCTGGAGTTCAGCCTCCCTGGGCTGTGAATTCTTACAGGACAAGCTTTACAGTCATATTGACTGTACTGCCCTGATGTGCTGCTGGGTGCTGAGCAGGGCGAGGTGGTATGGGAGGTGACCAGGAAGGGGTGTCACGGCACAAGTGAGAAGCTGGGGCTGATGGGAGTTCTGGGGAACAGGTGAACTACCGGGGCCAGTTGGTGAACCTGATCCGGATGCGGAACCCCTGGGGCGAGGTGGAGTGGACAGGAGCCTGGAGCGACGGGTAAGGGGCATTGAGGTGGACACTGGCTGGAGAGACTTGGAAAAGCCCTGAGGTGCCCCTGACATTTCTGCTTAGGGCTCTGCCAGCCCGGGGCAGACTCAGGATTGAGGGTCCCATCTTAGGTTACCAGGTTTGGGCCACTGCCCCAACAAAGTGTAGGCCATGCAGTCCTGGGCCAGCCTGTGTCTGCTTGGGGTGTCTGACCTAGCCCTGATTAAGAAAGCCCCCGGAACTGGGACATTGGGGTGGACTTTGAGGAATTGTCCTGACCTGGGCTGTGGAAACACAGGCCCCAGGGACAGAAGCCAGGCAGGCCAGTGCTCCCCAACCCTAGCAGTGCCCTGCTCCCCACAGCTCCTCAGAGTGGAACAATGTGGACCCCTACGAACGGGAGCAGCTGCGGGTCAAGATGGAAGATGGGGAGTTCTGGTGAGCTGCTTTTTCCTCCATGTGGCCCTTTTGTGTGTGTGTGTGTGTGTGTGTGTGTGTGTGTGTTACTGTGGATTGAACCCAGGGCCTCACGCAGGCTAGGCAAGCTGTCTACCACTAAGCCACACCCCCAGCCTTTTTTTGTGTTTTTTGTTTTTGAAATTGAGTCTCCACCTTAGCCCAGGCAGGTCTCCACCTCATGATTCTCCAATTCTGTCTACCCTATCTTGGTCATGTCGCCTTCTTTTTTTTTTTCTTGGTAGCACTGGGGTTCAAACTCAGGGCCTCATGCTTGCTAGGCAGGTGCCCTACCACTTAAGCCACTCCACCAGCCCTTTTTTTCTAGTGGATATTTTTGAGATGGGGCCTCCTGAACTATTTGCCAGAACTGGCTTCAAGGTGCAATCCTCCTGATCTCAGCCTTCCAAGTAGTTAGGACTACAGTGTGAGCCACGAGCACCCAGCTCAACTAGTCCTTCTTGGGGCGATTCTTCCCTTCCAACCCCCACAAACCTAGCCCATGGTTGGGGACTGTGTCTCAGCTCTGCATTTCAACCCCCAGGATGTCATTTCGAGACTTCATGCGTGAATTCACCCGCCTGGAGATCTGCAACTTGACCCCTGATGCACTCAAGAGCAGGTCAATCCGAAACTGGAACACCACCCTGTACGAGGGCACCTGGCGACGGGGAAGCACTGCAGGGGGCTGCCGGAACTACCCAGGTGACCTGAGCCCACAGGCACACGGGGCATACAAGGATGGGCTCAGGGCCTCAAATGAGGGCCACTGACTCACTGAGAAACAGCAATGTCTGCCGATCTCTCAAATTTGCTTTGAGGAGTCAATGAGCTGTGCTTGACTCGCTATCCTGGGCCTTGAGCCCCGGTACTAATGACAAAGAGAAGACCTTGTTGCCATCTACCCACCTTCAGGTCGCCCCTCTTCATTCCCTGAGTCCTTCCCTTCTGGTCCTCCTCTCACCTTTCCCTAGCCTTCTAGAACCACATGGATGACTATCCAGCCTGACCTCTCAGTTCCTTGCCCTCTTCACCTGCAGCAACCTTTTCCTCTATTTAGTTCTGCCCTGCCATGCCAACCACGGCTCGCCTGGCTTTGCCTTACCTCAGAATTCACCTCTGCTAGCATCTGCTCTGCCCTCTACCTCCAGCCCTTTCAGCTCCCAGCATGAAGTGTTTCTTCTGGGTTTTTTGTCTGTAGTGGGGTTTGAACTTAGGGCTTCATACTTGCTAAGCAGGCGCACTTCCACTTGAGCCACTCAAAATCAGCTGTTTTGTGTTGGGCATTTTCGAGATGGGGTCTTCTGAACTATCCACCTGGGCTGGCTTTGAACTGTGATCCTCTTGATCTTTGCCTCCTGAGTAGTTAGGTTTACAGGTGTGAGCCAACAGCATCCAGCCTAGTTCATCTGTTGAACCCCCCACTTTTGCACTGTCTTCATCTCCTGTCTTGCCCTCTCTCCTTCCTGAGGTTAGAATCATCATTTTAGCTTGTCCCTGTGAACACCCAGTTTCTTGTCCTTCCCTGCCTTTGCTTCTTTGCCAGGCACAACCACAATCCTCGTTGAAGCCAGTCTTTGCTGGCTTGGAACCACAGAATGTGGCTGGGGAGAAATCACACAACAGAGGTGGTGTTTTCCTTGTAAATCCACAGCCACAAACCTCTAATGAGCACTTTACACGGTCCCGCCACTCCACGCTCTCCTTCATCTCTCTCTATTACTCTCATCTGGGGATCCCACCTTGCACTTTATTGGAAAGAGACCTTGTCACACAGGACACCTCAGATTCTCACCTCCAAATTCTCTGTCTCCAATCTGCCTTGTGCATCTGTGCCCGCCCACACTGTCTCCCCGATGGACAGTGGCAGAACTGTCCTTGGTCACGGGCTCTGCATTCCATTCTTCCATTTTGCTCCTTTGTCTTCACCTCTCACTCCTGTGTTGTTATGAAAAATCCCCTATCTTAAAACAAATGACCCTCCCTGGACCTTACTTCCCCATCCCTGGCTCTGCTCCTCTTCAAAGGAGTTGCCACACTGCCTGCTTCCTTCCTGACAGCTACTCCGTCCTCCTATCCTGCACCCTCTGGCAGTTCTCAGCTCAGCTCACCACCCTCTGCTTGGAAACATTCTTCCTGGGAGGGATCCTACTTCTGTTTTTCCCCAAACCCAAAAGCACTGTTTCCTGTGGAGAGGCCAGTCCTTTTCTCCTGTTTATGGGTCTGTTCCAGGGCTCCCTGTCTGTCCCTGGGTTTCTCTTTCTGCCAGTGACACTTGACTTCACTGTTATAAAAAGTCCTGCCACAGAAGAGGGTGAATTCCTTCTTCAAGAGTCTCTTAGTAGGCCTGGGGTGTAGCTCAAGTGGTAAAGTGCTTGCCTAGTAAGCATGAGGTCCTGAGTTCAAATTCCAATGCCACCAAAAAAAAAAAACAGTCTCTTAATTATTCTTGTCCTTGGTTTTTCCATATGAATTTTAGGATCTGCTTACTAAGTCCCATAAAAAACTATTTTGAGTTGCATTAGGGATGCTTGACATATAGTATCTCCCAAGTGATGGTTGATCTTGAAAATGTAGATCTTTTGTATCTAGCAGACTTGTTATGCTTAATTATTTTTACTGATTTATCTGTAGATTCTTTTGGGTATACTAATTCACTGTATAGAATCTGGAACTAGTGACAGATTTGTTTATTTTTCAATTCTTCCAACTTCTGTTACTTTTTCTTGTTTAATATGCCAGCTAGCACTGTAGAGCAAACAGCAGTGGCCATCCAGGGCTTCTTGGTCTTTCCATCTCTTAAAGGGAAGGGTTTCACTAACAAATGTTTATGGTAAGTTTCACCACTACATTCCTTTTGTAGATTCTATTTTTTTTTTTTTTTTGGTGATACTGGGGTTTGAACTCAGGACCTCACACTTGCTAGGCAGGCGCTGTACCACCTGAGCCACTCCACCAGCTGTGGATGCCTTTTTACAGATTAACAAAGTGTAACTATATTTTGTTTAAATATATTTTTATATTTATTATAATAGTTTTTTCATTTATCTATTAAAATAGTAATTTGCATTTACTTAATATGCAACCTTATGTTCCTGAGATGAAAACAATATAACATGGTCATTGACGTAGGTTTTTGGCTAGCTTGTGTTTGGTTTGGTTTGTTTTTTGCAGTGCTGGGGGTGGAGCCCAGGGCTGCATGCATTTGAGGCCAGGGTTGCACCACTGAGCCCCCAACCCGGCATAACTTTTTTTTTAACATCCTAGTTCACAGGTGAGGTTTTCCTGTTCTTTTCTCATCCTGACCATGGTGGTAAGGCACTGTTTGTCTTGAGGGGGAATGGGAGAATGGCCTCTTTGTTTTTGCTTGCTGGAAGGGTTTACAGAAGGTGGGGGTGATTCTTTGTTGGGCCATTTGGAGAAACTTGTCTGTAAAGCCGTCAGGCCTGTTCTTTTCTTTATGTAAAGATGAACTTTCAATATCAAATACCTTTAATGGTTATCAGATTGTTCAGGTTTTGTTTGTTTTCTCTAAGACTTTTTTGGTGAACTGTATTTTCTAAGAATTTCTCCTTCGCATCTGCTTTCAAAGTTATTAGCATAAAGTTATCCTTCGCAAATACTCTTAAGCCTCATCTGTGGTAAGGTTTTCTTTGTATTTGCACACTCTCCTCTTTGTTAATCCTGTGAGGTTCCTCAACATGAACCTTTTCTTTTCTGAGACAGAATCTCACTATTTGGTCCAGGCTAGCTTGGAACTCATGTAGCCCAGGACAGCCTCAAATTCTCCATCCTCCATCCTCAGCCTCAGGAGTGTTGAGATTACAGGAATGCACCATTACCCATGGCATCAATGTGAAACTTAACAAAGAAATGACTTTTCATGTTGTCGATTCTTTGTATTTTTTTCTATCATTAATCTTTGCCTTTTTGTTCATTATCTCATTCCTTTCACTTTATTTGGATTTTAGACTTCACTTTATCACTTTGTTTTTAGGTGGTGCTGGGATTTGAACTCAGGAACCACACACTTGCTAGGCAGGTGCTCTACATCTTGAGCCACTCCACCGGCCCTTTTTTCTGTTGGGTATTTTTCAAGATAGGGTCTCACAAACTACTTGCCCAAGTTGGCTTCAAACCGTGATCCTCCTGATTTCTGCTTCCTAAGTAGCTAGGATTATAGTGGGGAGGCACCAGTGCCTGATGCTTTATGATTTTTTAATTAAATGCTTATTTTATTAATTTGATTTGGGGGGGCAGTACTGGGCTGTGAACTCAGGGTCTTGCACTTGCTAGGGAGGTGCTCTACCACTTGAGCCCATGCCTCTAGCCATTTTTCCTTTAGTTACTTTTCCGTTTTTTTTTTTTTTTTTTTTTTTGGTGGGACTGAAGTTTAAACTCAGGGCTTCAAACTTGCAAAGCAGGCACTCTATCCCTTGAGCCAGACTTCCAGTCCATTTTGCTCTGATTATTTTGGAGATGGGGTCTTGGGAACTATTTACCCAGGCTGACCTGCACCCACCGTCCTAATCTCAGCCTCCCAAGTAGCTGGGCTTACAGATCTGAATCACTGGTGCCTGGATTTTTCCTCATTAGATTCACCCTCCATCATTCTCCCTTCCCTCTTCTTAGAACAATTTCCACAGGTTTCATTGTTCAATTTTTGTACAGGTATATAAAGTACATCCACCATCTTCACCTTTCTTCTTTACTTATTTAGTTACTTTTCTTTCTTGCTTTTTCTTTTTTTTTTTTGGTGTTGGGGATAGTCCTGAGGTTTGAACTCAGGGCCTCATAAGTGAGACTTTGTCTTGAAAAATGAAGGTCTGGGAATGTAGCTTAGTGGTAGAGGGCTTGCTGAAAATGCACAAAACCCTGGGTTCAATCCCCAGTACTGGAAAAAAAAAAAAAACTGGCTTGTGATTATTTTTCTTCCTCTGGTGGGTTTATTTCTCTTTCATGTCACTTGATCTTTCTTTGTAACTAGCTTGTTTCAATTACCATAACATTTTCAAGGTTCATCCACATGGTATCAAGTATTGGTACTTTGTCAAATAATACTCTATTGTTTGGGCATACGTTTTTGTATCCACTCATCAGTTGACGAATAATGATTTCATCCATTTGGCTATTATAAACAGTGTTGCTCTGGATTTTTGTGTACAAGCTTTCATGTGGACATTTGCTTCCATCCTCTTGGGTATACACCTAGGAGGGGAAATACAGGACCAGGTGTTTAACCTCTAGGGAAACAGCTAGATTGATCTCCAAGGCAGGCGAACCATTTTGCATTTCCACCAGTAGTGTGTGAGGTTCTGATCCCCACATCTTCACCAGCATTTGTTATTATTTACTCTTTTTTTTTTTGGTAATTTTTTTTTTGGAGGAACTGGAATTTGAACTCAGTGCTTCATGCTTGCAGAGCAGGTGCTCTACAGCTTGAGCCACACCTCCAGACCCTATTTACTTTTCTGATTATTGTCAACTTGGAAGGAAAGGATGCTGTGGTTCCTTAGTGCTAGGAAAAAGTGGTTTTGCAGAGTCTTATCTGCGCATGGTTATTTACATGAAATTGTGTTCAGGCAGCTGAATTACCAAGCTGCCAGAAATGCAAGTCGCCACCATCTTTGCCATCTGTGGACTCCTGCAAGACTTCTGTGGGACCTTCTCTCTTACCCTCTTCTAAGTTGGGTCCACACAAGAGCTGGAGTCACCTGTTTGAATGAATCCAGCCATGTCTGTCCCATGGGCAAGGTCCCTTTGCTCTCAGATTCAAGCTTCTCACCTTAACCACCCCCCAACAGACACTCCTGCTCACATCTCCCACCTGCCAGGATCTCTGGTGCTCCCAGAGCCTCAGGAGAGGCTGGGGGTGCCCAGATCCCAGATGCGTGGGGCTGTCTCACTCTTGCTCTGGTTCCCACGCTTTCCTCTCCCAGGGCTGCTCCTTCAGGTTTCAGCTCACATGCCACCTTCCAGACCCCTCCAGCTTCCTGTTCTTCAATTATTCTGTTAACTCGCTTGACTTGCTCGTACTACCTCTCCCCTTCTGGAATGCAAGCCCTTGAGGGCAGGGAGGTGTTGTCCAGCTGCTTTCCTGTCACCTGGCACACAGGAACATTTAGCATTTGTTGAGTGAGTGAGTGAGTGAGTGAATGAATGAACGAAGGCACGCACAGGGTGTGTGGGTGACGCTTGGGGAGCTCAGTCTCTGGTCCCCGCCCTCCTCTCCTGCAGCCACCTTCTGGGTGAACCCTCAGTTCAAGATCCGGCTGGAGGAGGTGGACGACGAAGACGAGTACGGCAGTCGCGAGTCAGGCTGCAGCGTCGTGCTGGCTCTCATGCAGAAGCACCGTCGCCGGGAGCGCCGCTTCGGCCGCGACATGGAGACCATCGGCTTCGCGGTGTACGAGGTGAGCCCGGCGCTGAGCCCTGAGCGGCACCTCCGCCCACTGCCGCCAGGGGGCGCCCGGGACACCTCCCGAGCGGCTGGGAGGCAGGTGGCCCTGGAGGGGGGTTCTGGAGGCGCTGCTGGATCCCTGTGCTGCAGACAGGGACCTGGGCAAGTGGGCCACCCTGGGCGCTAGGAGGTCCCCACCTCAGCAGTGTGAGCAAAGGCTGCCCTGAAGGAGCAGGTGGGGGAGGGACAAGGCTGTGCTGGGTGGCCTGTGATTATACCTCTGAGTGTTGCCCTGTGTCTGCCCTGCCTCCCACACTGCACCCAAGATAGGGACAGAACTTCTGGATCTTCCTGACTGGGGTAAAGGGAGGCCGCTGTCTTAGCCCACACTCAGATCACCTGGAGGTAGATAGGTTGGACCTTTGATGTCCCTGTGGTTGGGACACTGCTTGGCCATCTGGCAGCTGTTCTAGAGGCTCTGATTCAGAGCAGAGGCCCCGGATGTTCCAGGGACAAATACTCTTGCCTGGTCCTCCCTCCTCAGGTCTGGTCCCAGGCCTAGTGTGTCCAGCCTCCTGTCTCTTCATTCTCTCCCTCCTGTCTAAGAACCTGTGCCCAGCATTCACCCTGCCCCAGCACCCTGACAAACACACGTCTCTACCTTCCTGTCTCTTGCAGGTCCCCCCGGAGGTAGGTGTGGCTCCTGACTCACCTGGTTTACCTGCCCCTTGAACACACATGACCTGATGGGGCCCAGAGGGATTGGAGCACAGTGGCAGAGACCCCCTCCACACAGAGTGCCAAGACATCGCCTTGTTTTACTGCCCCTCCTCTACCCGATGTTTGGTCAGCGGACAGAGCAATCATTGCACCCCTGAGGTTCAGAGAAGGTAGTAAAGTGAGGGCTGGATTTGAATCCTGGTCATCAGAGTGCCACCGAACTTGCACATACCAGGCTATCCCTGTCGGGCAGGGGCAGGGGTTAGGAGTTGGGTGTTGGCTGGGCTGCGTGACCTGCAGTCTTGGACAAGTTAAGTTCTGAGCCTCAGGGCTATTGTGAGCATTCAGCAAGGTGCCACCTGTCAAGAGCCCTGCTGCAGGAAACAAGGTTTCTTCTCCTCCTTCTCTTCCCCGCCCCCCACCCGCCTCCTGCTCTCTCCCCTCCCTCCCCCTCCTTTGTCTTTGGCATCACAGTTTTTTAAGTATCTCTTACTTCGTTCAGCTGCTGCTTGCCTCTGCCCTCTGCACTAGGGTGCTCACAGTTTCCAGATGAAAAAACAAGGCAAAATGACTTGTCAGGTTCACATAGGCTGTGAGCAATGGAGCTGTGACCCCGCACTCTACTCCCTCAGCTATGATTTGGAGCCTGGGGTCTGGGCCTGGGTCTGGGGTGGCTCCCAAGGGTGGGCTGAGTGTTCACTGCAACCCCGCTGCCTCCTCCCTCCCACCAGCTGGTGGGCCAGCCTGTGCACCTGAAGCGCGACTTCTTCCTGTCCAACTCGTCCCGGGCACGCTCAGAGCAGTTCATCAACCTGCGGGAGGTCAGCACCCGTTTCCGCCTGCCACCTGGGGAGTACGTAGTGGTGCCCTCCACCTTCGAGCCCAACAAGGAAGGTGACTTCGTGCTGCGCTTCTTCTCCGAGAAGAGTGCTGGGACCCAGTGAGTCACGGGCTGCCCCGCTTTCCACCTCCTCCCTGAAGGCCCCCACCCCACTGACTGGCCCTCTTTCTCCCCACTCTGCAGGGAGCTGGACGACCAGGTCCAGGCCAACCTTCCTGACGAGGTGCGTTCCCTTCTCCTAGCTAGCTTCCCTCCTGACAGGAGCCAGAGCAGCCACTTATCCCTCATTGGCCTGACACTTTTCAGCTTGCAAAGGACTTGTGATGACGGTGCTGTACCATTCCCATGCTCTCACTGAGCCAGATCTGTGCATCTCCCTTTCCTTCCCGTAGCAACCACATCCGGGTTCTGCTGTGATATCCCTCCCCTCTAAGTGAGAAACAAGTTCAGAGAGGTTGAGGAACTTGCCTAAGGTTGCACAGCAGAGCAAACCCTCACCTCATCACTGAACTATAAAGCCCTGTCCTCAGAGGCCAGGGCAGTGGGCAGATCCCTATTTTCCAGGTTGGAAGAGGGAGGCTCAAAGAGGTGAAGTGACATATAGCTCACGAGTATCCCACCCACCCAGTGGCTATGCCCCTGAGCAGGGCCAGGGCACCTCTCACCTATCCCCTCTCTTTTCTGTGCAGCAAGTGCTCTCTGAAGAGGAGATTGACGAGACCTTCAAGGCCCTCTTCAGGCAGCTGGCAGGGGAGGTAGGCGGGGGCCTGGTGGGTGTAGGTCTGGTGAGATGGGGACAGCCCTGCAGGTACCATCCTCTCTTCCCCCAGGACATGGAGATCAGCGTGAAAGAGTTACAGACCATCCTCAACAGGATCATTAGCAAACGTGAGGATCCCCAGATGGCTGCTGTCCACTTCATCATGTCCTGCCCCAAGCCTGGTTTCTTCCAAGGCTTCTGCCCTCACATGGAACATGGCCTAGCAGGCTCATGGCAAAGCCAGCCCCCAGGCCAGGCCAAGTGACTTGGGGGGCAGAGCATGCTGGCTTCACTTCCTAACATGCACAGCAATGAGCACCCTTGACCTTCCCCTTCCCTGGCTGTGGCTGCCATGGAGCCTGGTATGCCTGAGCTGCCCAGTGGCTGCTGCCTGTGACCTCCACGCTCACACTTCCCTCAGCCCACAGCCATTCTCCTGATGACGCTGTCCTTTGCTTACCCTCCAAGCCTGCAGCAAAGCCCTGCCTGTCCGTCTGTCTATCTGATTTCATTCACTTCTGCTCAGCCCTTGCTCCACTGGTGATGATGTGGCTGCCACAATTGCAGTGTGACAACTGAAATTCTTTGAATCTTCTGACAATGAAAGTTACACTACACGCTTGCTCTGCTGGACTCCATGCCCCCAGGAAGGACTTGGGTCTCCCTGACTTCAGCCTGCTCCCAGTGGGAAGCAGGTGCAGGAAGCCCATTGGGTTGAGGTGCTGGAACTGGTTTTTCTTGCAGACAAGGACTTGCGGACCAAGGGCTTCAGCGTGGAGTCATGCCGCAGCATGGTGAACCTCATGGACGTATCCTGCACTCTGCTTTGGTCTCCAGTGGGATTTGGAGCACTAGAAAGGCAGTGGGTGAACCGTGCAGAGAACAGGACAGAGCTTGGGGGGGTGTGGACACACCAGGGCCCAAGTTCAAATGCCTTCCCGGGCATCTTCTGATAGATTCAGAGGAGAAACTGAGGCCTGTGTCAAGTGGAAGGTTAAACAAGGCCTAGGTCCCTGATGGACCCTAAGGGTGGTACTGCTTCTGTCCCCCTGCCAGCCCACCATGTTACCACCCAACACTGGTTATGGCTGTCTGCATGTGCTCCCCGCCTCCCACAATTGTCTTGCTCTCTCTGCCTCCCCAGTCTTCCTCCTCCCCAGTCTTCCTCCTCACACACCTACTCAAAGCTGTAGCATTTCCTTCTTAACGGCTGCCCAGCGTGATGGTAATGGGAAGCTGGGCCTGGTGGAGTTCAACATCCTGTGGAATCGCATCCGGAATTACCTGGTAGGTGATGCCGTGGCTGGGTCTTCTTTCCCTTTTCCTTATGGCCCGGCTGGCCAGGTGGCAGGCCCCAGGCTGGCAGTGGGGGTCAGGCCTCCGCCTGAGCTCTGCCTCTCTGCATATGGTCCTCTTCCCTCCTTGAGCCCACATGTCCCAGCAAATGAGACCCTTTGGGCTGCTCCTCTCTACCTTCAACAAGCCTGGTCCTCACCCTCTCCTCCCCACCCCAGTCCGTCTTCCGGAAGTTTGACCTGGACAAGTCGGGCAGCATGAGCGCCTATGAGATGCGGATGGCCATTGAGTCTGCAGGTGAGGCCCACAGGCTGATCCACATGTGGGACCCAGGGAACATGGTCCCCACTGCTCTTGTGCCCCAAGCTGCCTCCCTGACTGCTGCCCAGGGCAGTGGCCACCCAACTGGTCCTTGTCCCTTGGGTCATATGGTAACAGCCATCTTTGACCTTTTTCCATAGCTGTGGAGATAAGTGCTTTTATCAGCATTCTTTCCTCCCTGCTGCAGCTTAACAAACATGGCATCTTTTATTATCCCCATTGTGTATTTGAGAAAAGTGAGGCTCAGAGAGGGAAGGTGACTGACTTCGGGTCATGCAGCCAGGGAAAGGGAGAACCGGGCTTCAAGCCTCCAGTGAAAGGTGCAGACTTCACCCACCTCAGTGCAGCTAAGGATGAGGCTGAGACCTTTAGAATAACTCAGCTAGACCTCTCAGCTCTCTACAGCCAGCTCCTGATTACCTGGCCTGTCCTGGGCTGTGGTCCTCACTTGCCCACTCTGCCCCCAGCTCCTGGCCCTACCCAGGAGTCCCTAATGCCCTTCTCTTTGGAGAAAACTAGCCCCAAACCCCTTGTCTGACCCATTCCCTCCCTGTCCCCTGGGCGAGCTGCACGTGCCCAGCCCTCACTCGCTCTCCACCCAGGCTTCAAACTCAACAAGAAGCTGTACGAACTCATTATCACCCGCTACTCTGAGCCTGACCTGGCCGTTGATTTTGACAACTTTGTGTGCTGCCTTGTGCGCCTGGAGACCATGTTCCGTGAGTGTCCCCAGCTGGCTCTGCTTGCCTGCTCAATCTTAAATATGTCCCCATAAGCTGGTAGGGAAAAGACAGAGGGAATAGCAGTCCTGGCCATACATGAATATGGCACTGAGTTCATCTTTTCCTGAACACACAGGTTTTTTCAAAACTCTGGATACAGACCTGGATGGAGTGGTGACCTTTGACCTGTTTAAGGTGGGATTCTTCCTCCCAAAGGGATAGTTTGAGATGGTGGCGTTTTCTTAACGACTCGGGTTCTCTTGTCCTTTCCTGGCTGGGAGGCTGTGACCTCAGAACCAGCCTCAAGGCTGGGTCCTGAGTCCTGGAAGGCCAGAGTGAGGGAAAGGGAGCTGGGTTCTGGGAAGGATCGGGGGCAGGCAAGGTCTTTGGAATCCCCTGTGGGAGCCAGCAGCCTGTCTCCTGGGGGCAAAGGTGGTGAGAAAGCAACCGTCCATTGAGGATCCCTGGAAGTAGGGAAAGAGATGGTAGCATCTCAGCTGTGGGGTTAGAAGCTAGACTCATGGTCTGGGTGAGAAGGAAGACTGAGGTGGCCACACAGCCATCTCTGCTGTCCTCAGCTGACTTTGCTATCCTCCCTTGCAGTGGTTACAGCTGACCATGTTTGCATGAGGCAGGGGTTCAGCCCCCTACTGCACCCCTCCTCCCTCGTCTGCCAAGCTACAACTTCCTGCCGTGCCACACCAGGCCCTATCAGCTGCAAGTGCCTTCCTTGGAGCAGGAAGGCATCCTCGTCCTCCTGTCCTCTCAGCCGCCACTGTTTACCTACTCTGGGCAGAGCTGTGTGGCTCTCCCTTCCTCCCCAGCTGTGGGCTCAGGATAGACTCCTCTGGGCCTGCCCATGGCCACTCCAGGAAGGCACCTCTCTGCTTACTCCTGCCTCGGGGCTCCCAAGGGAGCTGACAACCCCTACTCTCTCCCAGCATCCTCATCCTGATGCCTCCCCTCCCTCCCTCCAGAGGCCACCCCACTCCCGGCCTGGCCTCTTTTGCAGACTTTAATAACCACTAGCTCAGCACAGTCTGCATCCAGGTGTGCGAGCCCCTTCCCCAATGGGGAGCCCCTGGGGCTGGGGTCACCTGTGCCTTCTTGTGCAGAAGCCAATGTCCTCCTTGCCCTGCGGGCCCTCCCTCAGCCCCATCTGCCCACAGGAGCTGCCCAGCCTAGAGGGTGCTCAGGCCTTCCCTCCTGCCTCCTCTCCTTTTTTATATTGGTGACTTTAAAGGGGACTGGTGTACTGGTGATGGGGTACCAGAGGCACTGGGTGTGGGGTGGGAGGGGACCCGTATTTCCATGCAGAGTAACCCCAGATAATAAAGGAAAAGGCCCCACATCTGTCTCTGGAGTGTGATTCTCCTGAACCTGCTTCTGGGAGGGCACTGGCAAACCTTGGCCCAGGGGTGGGGGTTGGGCATTGGGGTAGGGCCACCTCTGTACCAGGAAGGCCTTGTGTTCAGGGACAGGGTCCCACAGCTGAGGGTCCAGGTGGCGCAGCTGGTCCCACACACCCACCTTGAGGTCTGACTCCTGCCTTCCCTTCACATATCTGCCATCGAAGGTGCCAGCTGAAATCCAACCCCTTCTTAGCACAAACCTGACCCCCCAGGGAGCTCCCCAGGGCACAGAGCCTCCTTTAGCTCCTCTGTGGTGGGGGAGCGGGGAGTGCCCTATGACCCATTCACCTGCAGCTTATATAAGCTACACTAGCCCCCTCCGATCCTGGCAGCTGTTCCTACCAGAGATAAGAGTGGGCTGAATTGGGGTGGGGGGATGAGGGTTGCTTTGTGAGGGGCTGGAGAGACAGCCCCTCCTGGCTTAACCAGCCCTCCATTGTTCTCTGGGTTGATTTCATTTGATGGAGGGTTAGAACACCATGGGGGCTGAACTCTGCAGAGACCCCGGGTCTAAGGCTGAGAGCAGGGCCTTGCTCTTGGCTGTCCTGTTCGGATATTTTTAAAGGACTTTTTCCAAGTGTCACCTGTGCAGCTAAGTACCTGACTTCTCATTGAGTAGGGAAGGGCAGTACCCCATTATCTGTTATTCTGACCTCTGAGCACTTAATGGCACCAACTGTGATTTAGAGCCTGGTGACAGGGACTGTGTCCCATATACAAAAACCAAAATCAGGGCTCCTGAGCTTCATGGTAGCCTCCAGAAGAAACGGAAGGTAGCCAGGCCTCATTTACTCCTGTGCCCCTGTGGCAGTGGGCAGTGCAGCTGGGCTTGTAGATTTGGGCAATGGGATGTGAGGTGGCCCTCCAGGACAGAGAGAAACCTGGAGAAGGGGCCTGGGAGGGGGAGCCCTGCAGATGTGGGGACACTTGAGGCCTCCTGTGAGGTGTAACTGGAAACCTCTGAGCTGCTGGACAGGGCAGTCTTTGGTCCTAACCTCTGGTCTGATGCTCCACCTCCCAGGGTCCCTCCCCGGCCCCTTTACATAAGGCCAGGGCAGCCTGGGCCTTGGCAAAGGCCCGTGGCCATGGCCTTCACAGACCTGCTGGATGCCGTGGGTGGCGTGGGCCGCTTCCAATTCCTCTACACTGGCCTGTTGCTGCTGCCATGTGCCCTGCTAGCCTGCCACACCTTCCTACAAAACTTCACAGCCGCTGCACCTTCGCACCACTGCCAGCACCCCTCCAACCGAACAGAGGAAACCATTAAAGACTCAGGGGCCTGGCTGAGGGCCACCATTCCCCTGGACCAGCATGGGATCCCTGAGCCATGCCAGCGCTACGTGGAGCCTCAGTGGGCCCTTCTGAGCCCCAACACCTCTGTCCCAGGGGCAGCCACAGAGGGCTGCAAGGACGGCTGGGTTTATGACCACAGCATTTTCCCATCCACCATCGTGACAGAGGTCAGAGGGGGCTGGGTGGCATGGGGGCTGCTGCCCAAGGCCAAGACTGAGCATCTCCTCTTCCCTGGCAGTGGGATCTGGTGTGTGAGGCACGCACCCTCCGTGACCTGGCGCAGTCCCTCTACATGGCTGGAGTGCTGGTGGGGGCTGCTGTGTTTGGCAGCCTGGCAGACAGGTGAGCCTTTGGGGTATGAGGGTCCCAGCCACCTAGTGAGGACCAGAAAGCCCCAGGCCTCAGCATTAATGGTTTGTTTCTTTTCTTGATTTTGTTTGCTTGTTTTTGCAGTTTCTGGGAATTGAACCTCATACTTGCTAGGCAAGTGCTTTACCACCTGAGTCACAGCCCCCGAAGGCCCTGTTCATGTATTTTTTAACAGATCACACATATCCATTCCAAAATTCCAAACAGAAGGAAACATCCATGAAACCCTCTCCAGTGATTTGCAGAAGGCAGTCAAGTTTCTGCCTCAAACCAGAGATATTTTTCTTTTTCTTTTATTTTTGACTGACACATAATTGTGCATATTTGTGGGGTACGATGTGACATACATACATACATGCAATGATCAAATCAGGATAATTAGTGTATCCATCATTGGACAGCTATCATTTGTTTGTGGTGGGAGCATTCAAAATTCTCCTTTCCAGCTCTTCTTACCAGAGTTATTTTATGATTTCATGTGGTATCAGTCAGATAAACATGCTTGCTTGGTCCCCCATTTTTATACAATTGTTGGCACATCCCACATGCGGTCCTGCACCTGCCTTTGTCTTCACGTTGGCGGTCTTTTGGAGCCTCTCTAATGTCCACACTGCTTCCCCTGTGCAAATGGGTCAGAACTCACCAGCAGACCCAACCCCCCCAGTGATGGACCGACCACAAGATGCACTCTGGCACGTGCTGTTGATGAAGTCCGCTCCCACGTCTCCTTCCCTGTTCTTCCTTCCTTCCTTTCTCTTCTTCCTTCCTCTCCACCTCACCCCTGCCCTTCCTCTGATCACATTGAGGGGTAGCCTCGTGGACCCCAGACCCCACTCCCTGGAGTGTAGACAGCTCTGTGCTTCAGGCCTCAGCCCCCTTATGAATGTGCTGTCATGCCTTCATCACAAGGGTCACAACATGTTCTCTTCTTTCTACACATGGGCGTGTGGCTTATCCAGAGTGTCCCGATGTCACCAACCCTTGGCTCTGGCCTGTTACTTAGAGGTGATCACTGAGCAGTTGTATAAGGATGAGTGAGTGAGTGAATGAAGGAACAAAGTGATAAGCGAGTTAACGTGTCTCGGGGTATGTGGGAAGGAAATGCTGCCTGTCTCCTCCTTGGCCTGCTGCTGTCCTGGCCAAGCCGGAGCTGTGGCCCTGGTCTCATTTGCAACGAAGCAGTGCCACAGCCAGAGTGTGGTAACCCCACCAGCCTGGCATTGGACCTCTCCTGCCTACCTCAGCCTCCCTGCTTCTGTTGGTCCCGTGGGTCCTGCAGCCTGGGAGGAGCCAAGCGCTCATCTCACTGTGGGCTCTGGGCTGAGGCCTCTTTCCACCCAGGACAGTGCTCAGGTGACTCACTCCCAGCCACCACACCTGCCTTGGGTCTTTGTAGAATCTCTGCCTTTTCCTCCTCATCTCCAACTTTCTTCTACACATGTTCCTCCCTCTCTGACCCGCCTCGGCCACCAGTGCCTCGGGCTTGGCAGACGTGCATGCTGTTTTGAGGGGTAGCTTTCACCAGGCACCCCAGCTTCCCCTCAGTTGCCTTGATACCCCCCATCAGGGCGGGAGGGTGGGAGGTGGGCTGTCACTTTGTTCCTCTGGGAATGCTGCAGCTGGTTCCCGTAACCCTAACTCCCGTGCCCACTCCCTGGCCTCAGGCTGGGCCGCAAGGTCCCCCTGGTCTGGTCATACCTACAGCTGGCAGTTTCGGGGTCCGCTACAGCATATGTCAGCTCCTTCAGCGCCTACTGTGTCTTCCGGTTCCTAATGGGCATGACCTTCTCCGGAATCATCCTCAACTCCCTCTCGCTGGGTGAGTCCGGCCAGGGTCTGAAGGGGCTGGGACTAGAAGAGAAAGGGAGGGTGGAATTCTCATCTAGTGACCTCAACTTCCAACAGAGGCGTGGACTTGGGAGACCGGGCTCTCAGGTCAAGATCTTGCCAGCAGCAGGCCTTGGCAGTTTTTGCCTGCTCTGGGTTTCAGTTCACTGATCTGTAAACTGAGAGGGTTAGGTTTGTTTCATCTGTGAGTTAGTCATCAGTAACCCGGCTTAGGTAGGGTCCTGAGGTGACTGGGACCCAGAAGATAGGGTGGTCCCCTGGGCTGCAGGCAGCCCTGAAGTCATGTGTCTAAGAAGGTTAGGACTCATTCCGGCCACAAAGGCTCCATGGTAGAGGCCTGGCCTCCAGGATGTCAGGTGAAGTGTCATTTCCCAAGTGACAAGTGACAGAGTCTGTCCTCACTCCAGGCTGGCAGCTCCCTAGTGGTCCTGGCCAAGAGCACTGTGGGATAGTAGAAAACCCACCCTGGACACAGGCCTGCCACCTGCCTGTGTTTCACCTAAACTACTTAGCTTGCTCCAGGGGACACCACCAGGCTCAGAAACTTTCACCACCCTCAGCAGTCAAAGACAGAGTTGGTCTTTTATTTCAGGGGTCTGGGAGAAATCTTGGGAAGAGAGGATCAGGATGAACCAGGCTGGTGCACCTGACCTTCTCTGACTCTCTCTCTTCCTCCCAGCATTAGGACAAAGAAGGGTGCTAAATACACAGTAGCACTTTAGCAAACATGCTAGGCACATGCTCTATTTCTAAGCTATATCCCCAGCCTCCAGGGCCTCCTGTGTGTCAGGCATGGTTCTAGGCACTGGACACACAGCAGTGACCACAGCAGACCCTACTCCTTGGAGTCCATGAGTAAGTGACTCACAGCATACATTAGAAGGCAGGCAGTGCCACAGAGAGAAAATAGAAGCCCAGGAAATGGCTACGAGTGGCAGTGGCCAGGGTGCAGTTTTGATTACAGTGGTCCCAGTAAGGCCTCCTTGACAAGAGGTCATTTTGAGGAAAAGTTTGAAGGGAGCTGGGGGAGCAAGCCCTGCAGAGTTCTGGGGTAGAACATCCCAGGCAGAGGGAAGGACAGGGACAAAGGCCCTGAGGGCACAGTGTGGGCTCAGGGGAGAACATGGGCCCAGGGTCAAGAGGAATCAGTTCACTATACCTGGAGCAGAGTTGTGTGTGTGTGACAGGTGAGCTCAGGGAGGTGGGGGACAGGTCTTAGGGATGTAGCAGATCCCCGGCCATTTTAAGGACTGTGACTCTAACCCTGAATGAGACAGGAGGCACTGGAGGATTCTGAGCTAGTGGAGACCTGACCTGATTTAGGAATTGAAAATTAACAAGATTGCCCTTGGCCACTGCCATATGGCACCAAAACAGAAGAAGCAAGGCCAGGTAAGAGGCCATTGCTGGCATCCCAGCAAGAGCAGAGGCTGGGGGACAGCAGAGCAGGTGACAGGGGCACAGTTAGGGACTAAATTCTGAAGATAGAAGCAACCAGGTTTGCTGATGGACTAGGCCCATTGGCTCAGTGTGCACTGGAAAGAAAGGCCTCTGTTAATTTGTCATGGCTGCCTTGTCAGGATGTGTCAACATTTCTTTAATGAGCCCCCGATGGATGGATAGTTAGGTTGTTCCAAGCTTCGCTATTTACAAAAATTTGCATTTTTTTTGTCTTTTCATGAAGTTGAGCTGCTTTTCATAGGATTAAAATCATCGTATTTCTTCCTCTACCACACCTCCTTAACATCCCTTGCCCATTTTACTTCGGTTTTTCATCATTTTCCTTTTGATTTGTAAAAACCTCTTCCAGTGTTAGAGAAGTTAGTCCTTTATCTCTTGAGTCACAAATATATTTTGCTGTATTTTTTTTTGTTTTGCTGACATTATGACTTTGCTTATGGTGTTTTATCTCCAATGTAGACATCTCTCTCTCTCTCTCTCTCTCTCTCTCTCTCTTTTTTTGGCAGTACTAGGGTTTGAACTCAGGGCCTCACTCTTGCTAGGCAGGCGCTCTACCACTTGAGCCACTCCATCAGCCCTATTTTTGTGATGGGTATTTTCAAGATAGGGTCTCACAAACTATTTTCCCAGGCTGGCTTCAAACCTTGATCCTTCTGATTTCTGCCTCCTGAGTAGCTAGGATTACAGGTGTGAGCCACAGGTGCCCAGTGACATTTCTTATTTTTATGATTCAAATTTGTTGAACTTTGATCGCTTCTTTCATTTCAATATTTTGTCACATTCTTGGAAAAGCCTTTCCCTACTCTAAGATTGTTTTAAAAAGAAAACCCTAACCCTCAGCTGTAACATTTTTGTAGTTTTATTGATACCATTTAAGTATAAGGAATGAGGAAGGGATGCCTTGCCTGTGTCTCAGTGAATCTTGAAATGGGTTTAAGTTGTCACAGTCATGACAAAGGGTGAATTCAGCAACTATAAGTCCCGAATGTATTGCCATTCCTTCCTCAGTTGTGGAGTGGATGCCCACCCAGGGCAGGACGGTGGCGGGCATCCTGCTGGGCTACTCCTTCACCTTTGGTCAGCTCATCCTGGCAGGTGTGGCGTACCTGATCCGTTCCTGGCGGTGGCTGCAATTTGCCGTATCTGTTCCTTTCCTGATCTTTTTCCTGTGTTCTTGGTATGTCCAGCAGAGCGGGGAGGGGAAGAGTAAACCTATGTAGCTGAGCTCTGACATGGCCCCATGAGAGGCTGGTGTGTGCAGTGGCTGGGACTTGACGGACTTTAGGAAAGTTTGCACCAACCTCTCCCATAAGCATGGGTTCTGGAACAGACTGGAGTGACTGCCTTCATCAACTCTTCTGCACCTCACAACAATCCCATTGTATTTTATAAGAAGGGAACTTGAGGCTGGGTGCAGTGGCTCAAGTGGAGGTTGGGAAGATGGCAGCTCAAGGCTAGACTGGGTAAAAAAGTTCTCAAGACCCCATTTCAACCAATGGCTGGGTGTGGTGGTGCAAGTCTGTCATCCCAGCTATGCAGAGAAGCACAAATAGGAGGGTCATAGTCCAGACCAACCTGGGCATAAACCAAGACCCTATCTAAAAAATAGCCAATGCATGCTGGGTGCTGGTAGCTCACGCCTGTAATCCTAGTTACTCAGGAGGCAGAGAGCAAGAGGATCACAGTTCAAAGCCAGCCCAAGCAAATAGTTCTCGAGACCCTATCTTGAAAAAACCCATCACAAAAAAAGGGCTGCTGGAGTGGCTCAAGGTGAAGGCCCTGAGTTCAAGCCCCAGCACTGCAAGAAACCATAAATTAATAAAGACCTTTCAGTGATTCTATGTATGATGTACTCCAAGAAGCAGGCAGGTAGCACACATACCCCATCCTTCCTGATTCAAAAATAGGGGAGCGCTTTGCCATTTTTTAGGGTCTGACAGGTGTGTGAAGGTGTAGTTGGGTTTTGGGGAGGGAATCAGCCCTCATCCTTCCTTATCCTTCTCTTGGTCCCAGGTGGCTGCCAGAGTCATCCCGGTGGCTCCTCCTTCATGGCAAGTCCCAGCAAGCCTTGAAGAACCTAAGAAAGGTGGCTGTGATGAATGGAAGAAAGGAGGAAGGGGAAAGGCTGACCACGGAGGCAAGTGGGGTGTGTGGGAGGAAGGCCAGGAATGTGCTTCCAGCAACTCTAGGGTTTCGTAGCTTCTCAAGACTCACCTGCCATCCAGAAACAGAGTCTGGAAGCACAGTGCAGGCAGAGTTCTAGTGTGGGACAGATGCGTGAGCACTGAGTGACTGTGTGACTTGGGACAAATGATTTAGCTGCTTCATCCATCAGCTTATCCAGATTTGTGCAAGGAAGAAATACCTCACTCACAATGACAGCCTGTCTAAATTCTGATAAAAATGAAAAATTTTAAATAACAATCACAGCATAAAATTATTGGAAAATCAGTACCAAAGTACCATCTATTATAAACACCATTTATTATCAGATAGTTACTATTAACTATCAAGACCGGGAGACAGGGTGTCTTTGCTCCCATTTCCTGCATGGGGAACAGGAAATGTTTTCTCTCTTTGTCCCTCCCCCACACCTTGTCCATACTTCATTCTATTATACTAAAATAAATTCTTGCTATAACTTAAAAAAAATACATGAGACAGGTCAGAGGGACCCACTTCTCCTTGAAGCACTGGGCAGGAGTCAAACACGCATCACTAAATACGATTAAGTACTGTTAAATGCAATTAGGGTTGTTAGTTCTCTGTAGGGCTTTTGTTAAGCTTTTATTGAAAAACACCCTTTTAATGCTTTCCGTGAACAATTAAAACTATCAAGAGTGGCCATTTGACCGGCCCTTCTCTTATGCCTGGCAGCGTTGGCAGGAAACTGAGCCAAGTAACCCCTTTACTGACAACTGGCTGGACAGCCCTCATGGCAGCCTGACTGTTCAGGACACTCTGCAGTCACTGAGGACACTCCAGTAGCTGCAGAGAATCAGTACAACCACAGCTGATGACATGCTCCACTCATGACCACTCTAGACAGCCTACACTGGTCTTGGACAGCAGCTCTCTAAGCAAGACAGACTTTGGTGAATGTTAGATGAGCCTGCAGCCATTTTCACCCAAGCTAAAGAGGAAGCACTTCTCCTGGTGGTCCTTGAGAAAGCTTTGTGATTGGTGCAAATCATAAGCCTACATTTGCATGAAGGTCTGTACTGTGATTGGTACAAACACCCTGCTGCACTTCCCTTCTGGCTGTAAGTAAGTAGACTGTTCAACTCAGTTTTCAAGTCAGCCAGGAGACCCCACCCTCCTGTGCTGCTCCCTAGCGTTACGACATTAAGTCCATTGAAAGGCTTCTCTTGGTTGGTCTTTTCTTGCCTACTTTTATCAGTAGTAGAGTGGGCTGACCTGCTAACACAAAGAGAGGTCAGAAGCAGAATGGTAGCAGCAGCAGCAACAGAAGCAGCGGAGCTAGCAATAGTGGTAGAGGTGGTGGCAGCTTTTGGGCACCCGAAGAGCCCAGGAGAGCCATTGGGGACCAGAGCTGTGGTATGCAAGACAACAAGGGTTGGTGAAAATAATGAGCAGAGGGCTCAGATTGCTAAGGTAGAGGCTGTAAGGAGCCAAGATCAGGAGATTGGGCCCTGGTTGCTGGAAGGGTTTCAGAGAACTGCCATGCCTCAGAACCAAGGAGGGTCTCCTGTACCCAAGGCTCAAGAGCTGTGACACTAGCTGCTCAGGAGCAAGGATCCTGACACCCTAGGCCTTAGAGCTGTGCCATTAGCTGCTATAGGGCTGAGGGTCTCCACACTCAAGACTGACTGGGAGCTGTAACGTGAGCAGGTGCTGCCTGCTGCTGTTGGCTGCTGCCGCTCACTGCTGCTGGAAGCCAAGGACTACAATAGCTGCCCAAGTGCCAGGCTGGTGGTGCTGAAGGCCAGAGCGATAAGCCTCCCACCCACAGTGTTTACAGCCATAAGTAGCTGGCTTCGAAAGCCTGGAGCAGTGGGTCCCCAGCTCTCCGATCTTGGAGCTGTGAGCTCTGGGCCGCCAGTCCAGCCCTTAGGACTTGGACGATCAAAGACCCAGGAGGACCCAGGACTGCCAGCACTACAAGAGTGTTTCCTCTCTTACTTGTGATTTCTGTCCGGAGGAGCAAACTGATCCCAGCCAGCTGACTGGTACCACACACAGTGTTTACTGATCCCTATGCAAGGCACTATGCGCTGACATACGTAATCTCACCGAATGTCTCATTTTGGCCAACAAGAAACTGAAGTTTGGATGGGTCAGGTAATTTAACAACACAGAATGGGATGTAGCAGACTCACCCTGAGCTCGGCTTTTAGCCATGTCCGACACTATCTCAAAGTCAATACCAGGAAGAGGGTGCAGATCTCTCAAAAATGACAGAAACTGAGTAGTGTTGGGGTGCATCTCAAAGTCCTGGAAACAACCCTATGAGGGCCATCAGTCCCGAAATGAAGAGGAGAAGAGAGCCGGCCATCTTGCCGGCTAGCACAACTGTGGCTGTCCTCCCCACAAATGAAGGTGCTCCCACCCGGACATGGGGCCCCAGGCCCCTTGCTGTACCTGATCAGACATTTCTCACCCAGGTGGTGAGCTCCTACGTCCAGAGTGAGTTTGCAAGTGTCCGCACCTCCAGCTCCATCTTGGATCTCTTTCGAACCCCAGCCATACGCAAGGTCACCTGCTGTCTCATGGTTGTCTGGTAAGTGATGGGCTCTTGCCCAAGGCTTTGACCTGAGGGAACATGCTTTCTGCCCTCATTGATAAACTCTGCCCCGAAATGCTCCCAAAGCAATGATCTTGTGAGCCTAAGAATTCAATCTCATTCTGCACCCTTCAGTACATGGCCCTCTGCTGGGTGCTGACACACTGTGACAGGTGACACATTGTACTGACTCAGGGAGCCCATGTCTGGGCAGTGGGTCTCACCTGGGGACACAGGATCAGCAGGGCTACTGGAATCACCCAGGCAGCTTTTTCCAGAATGTACCTTGTCTCATCCTATATGCCCTTGGGGCTCTCCAGGGGATTCTGGGAAGTGTCCACTCTGAAAAAACACTTCTGGGCCCAGAAGGGAATAGATAGGGGACGACGAGTAGCCTAGCAGCAGTTGTCTCGGGCTGCTGGCGGCTTCATGGCATTTAGATGCTTTTTAACAGGTACATAGGTGTGAAGATGCATCGACAACACCCCGGCAGGACATTTATTGGAAGCTGACAAATCCTAAGAAAAGAGCTGATTAAAAAAAAAAAATGACCATCCTAGGCCAGGCTCAGTGGCTCACCTCTGTAATCCCAGCTATTCTGGAGATGGGAGGATGAAGGTTCTAGGCCAGCCCAGGCAAATTTAGCAAGACCCCATCTTGTGACCTACCTGTGGTCCTCACTATGTGGGAAGTGTAAATAGGAGCAACACGGTTCAGGTTAGCCTAGGCAAAAATGCAAGACCTTATCCCAAAAATAACTATAGCAAAAAGGGGTAGGGTGTGGCTCAAGTGGTAGAGTGCTTGCTGAGCAAACATGAAGCCCTGAGTTCAAACTCCAATACCATCAAAAGAAAAAGGGGAAAAATGACCATCTTGGCTGGGCATGCCTGTAATCCCAGCACTTAAGAAGCAGATGCAGGAGGATTGAGAGTCCAGGGTCAGCCTGGGCTATGAGGAGGGATCCTTTTTCAAAAATCAAGGGATAAGGATATAGCTCAGTGGTAGACCACTTACCTATAGCATACACAGTCACCACAAAAAAAAATTCTAAATTTCCTTCTACCGGATTCCTGGACATTTAAATAACCAGAATTGACATTTACAAAGCAGGAGGCAGGCAAGGAATTATTATCGATTCTCTGGAGCAGACCTCGGCATACTCCGTTAGTTGTTTCTCGCTGGGCTCTGAAGCCACACTGCCCATGTGACCTTCAGCAAGCTTTAAGCCTCCTGGTGCCTCAGTTTCTGGTACCTGTATGGGCAAAAATTAAGACAGGTAAAGCACTTGTACTGTACCTGGCCCTGGAAAGTTCTCAGGTAGAGTCTTTGCTGTCTGATTTGGTCTGGGGCTGTGTTCCTTGGGCACTGAGAACGAGGGATTGTCCCCACACTGGAGGCTGGGAGAGCTTCTGCCCCACGGAGTCGCTTGCAGCACTGTCTGGCTGTGGGCACCAGGCGACTCCAGAGACCATATCCAGGAGAGGCAGGTCTCACCATGTCCCCTCCACCTCCTGTGGCCAGTCTGCTTTTTATCCACCAGCTACTTTCATATCTTCCTTTGCCCACTGGGAGCCTTCTAGAAGGAGTAAGCAAAGGCCCATTTTTGTTAATAAGCAACTTGGCAGCAGCTCGAGACTGCTACAGGTGAGCAGGCTTCTCCCACCCGGCGGGACCTGCTTGCATGTACCTTGGCCTTAACTGGCTGGGTTTGTGCAGACTTAGAGACTTATAAACTGTGTGCTGTGTGCTGAATGGGTTTGTTTTTGTTTTGCTTTTTTGTTTTGTTTTGAACTCAGGGCTTCGTGCTTGCAAAGCTGGCACTCTACCACTTGAGCCATACCTCCAGTCCATTTTACTCTGGTTATTGTGGAGACAGGGGTCTCCTGAAGTATTTGTGTGTGCTAGCCTCGAACCTCAATCCTCCTTATCTCAATCTCTGTAGGAGCTAAGATAACAGGTGTAAGCCACCAGTGCCCAGTTGCTCTAAATGTTTTGCGGGTTCCAAATATTTCACTTCCCTGCAGGCTGGGAGTCGGGCCACACAGGGTCCAATTGCACCATCCTCACTTTGTGGAGTGGGAAGAGGGAGAGTAGGCTCCCCTTTACTGCCCTCCTTTCCTGTGTGTCTGGGCTGAGGAGGGGGCAGGGATTCCTGGGGCTCAAAAAGGGGTGGGGGAGAAAGAGGAAGGTTAGAACTGATAAACTATCACAGACTTCCTCCAAATCCTGTTGTAGATGTCATACATTAACTTAGATTGTTTTCTCTTCAGTAACTAATTTCCAAATTCAAAAGCAATGCATTCTTGTAAAAAAAAAAAAAAAAAAGGTGGGGAGGAGGCCGGCAGAATGGCTCAAGTGGTAGAGAACCTGCCTAGCAAGCCTGAGGCCCTGAGTTCAAACCCCAATACTGCCAAAAAAAAAAAAGATTTTTCCTCATCCCAAACAATCCAGAAACTTATAGGCAATGTAGTAGTAGTTAAAAAGCAAGACTCAAAAACTGATTGTTTGGGTTTGAATCTCAGTTCTGCCAGGATCTGTGTGATCCTGGACAAGTCACTTAACCTTCCTGAATTTGCTCGTCAGTAACATGATGTCATAATAATACCTATCACACAGGGTGCTACGAACACTGAAGAGTTCACCTATGTAAAGCAGGTAGAAGCCAGGTGCCAATGGCCTACACCTGCAATCCTAGCTACTTGAAGGCTGAGATCTGGAGGATAGTGGTTGGAGGCCAGCCCAAGCAAATAGTTCTTGAAACCCTATTTCCAAAATAACCAGAGCAAAATAGACTGGAGGTGTGGCTCAAGCAGTAGAGAGAGTGCCTGCTTTGCAAGCATGAAGCTGAGTTCAAACCCCAGTCCCACCAAAAATAACAAACAAAGCAGGTAGAGCAATACCTGTCACATTCTGTTATCCAGAATAAGACAAAAATGAGTGTTCTCCATCCTTCTCTCCTTCAACAACAAACTGTTTGTATCCTACAGACCTTTTCCATACAACACACACACACCACACACCACACACACACACACACACACACACACACACACACACACACATGTCCTTACAAAAATGAGCTGATACTCTCTATTCTGTCATTTGCTTTTCTATACCTTAATCCTATCTGTAAATACCTTTACAGCATTACAGGAACCCAGCTCATGACATGTGGTAGTTTTGCAATAAATATTTGATAACTGAGTGAACCAATGAATGAATAAAGAAAGGAGTTTTAGAATATTGTAAGCCACAGAAATGTAAGACAGAAAGGAATCTTTATTTATTTATTTATTTTCTGGTACTGGGGTTTGGGGTTTGAACTCAGAGCCTCATACTTATTAGGCAGGCACTCTACCACTTGAGCCACTCCACCACTAGGAAAGAAGTCTTTTTTTTTTTTTTTTTGCAATACTGGAGCTTGAACTCAGGGCCTTCACCTTGAGCCACTCCACCAGCCCTATTTTTGTGAAGGATTTTTCGAGATAGGATCTCATGGAACTATTTGTTTGAGCTGGCTTCAAACTTCGATCTTCCTGATCTCTGCCTCCTGAGTAGCTAGGATTACAGGTGTGAGCCACCAGCACCTGGCAGAAAGGAGTCTTAAAGACTGTCTAGGGCTGGTGGAGTGGCTCGAGCAATAAGAGCACCTGCCTAGCAAGCATGAGTCCTGAGTTCAAACCCCAGTACTGCCAGAAAAAAAAAAAAAAGGATTTCATCACGATATTTCCATACATAAAATATAATGTACTTTGATCATAATCACCCCCTCTGGCTTCTGTGTCCTTTAACTTATCTCCATCCTCAGTTTTTATTTTTTAGCACTGCTTTAATTCCAGGGCTGAATGGAAAGGAAAACCGAACACATCCCAGAGCCCACAGCCTGGACTCAGGGGAGTGTGTAGTTGGAAAGAGAGGTAGAAGGAGAAATCTGGGTTCCATAGTCAGAGACTCAGGAGACCAGGAAGGGATGTTGTGGAAAGTCAGGGAATTTTAGCTCCCTAAGGGAGGAGCCCTGTGTCATGCTTCCTGTATCCCCTGCCCTGAGCCCAGGCCCGTGAATCACGGGATGAAACAGGGCCACTCTGCTGCCTTTCCCAGGTTCTCCAACTCCATCGCTTACTATGGCCTGGCCATGGACCTGCAGAAGTTCAGTCTCAGCATCTTCCTGGTGCAGGCTCTGTTTGGAATAATCGACATCCCGGCCATGTTGGTGGCCACCACCACCATGATCTATGTGGGCCGCCGGGCCACTGTGGCCTCCTTCCTCATCCTGGCTGGGCTCATGGTCATTGCCAATATGTTTGTGCCTGAAGGTGAGTCATTGCTTCTGTCCTTACTGCCCCCTCTTCCCCTGGGAAGCACAAACTCAGGTCCAGGACAGCTGAGAGCCTCCAGGCTCTGGTGAACAACAAACACCACAAGGGAATAAGGCTCAGTTGCATGTTTATGGGTCTGGAAAGAAAGTGACTGTGGATTAGTCTAGTTTTTGCTATGTACTTACTGCCTGGTATCCATATGGGGGAGGGCATCACAAAGGACTGGGTCTGCTCTCAGCGAGCTGTCCATCCTGTCGGGAGATCCGACAAAGGACACAAAGCCCCTAGAGGGTGCTGGCTTGCTCAGATGGATAGTGGTGTGTGTTCACTGGGAGCAGGTGGCCTATCTTGGGATTGAAGCCTCAGCCAGGCTGGCCTTGGGACAGTGGCTTTTAAGGCTGGCTGAAATTACCTTCCCTCAATCCCCTCAAAAGCTCCCAGTGCCCGGTTGCTCCAGGCAGACAAAATGGAATCTTGGGGAGCCACTCCAGCCCTCAGCATTTTAAAAACTGTCCAGTGTCCTTCTTGTTCAAGCAAGAAGCCAGGGTTGAACATGAGGGTCCTGGGGCATGTGCTAAACCTTATGTCCAGAGGGGACCCCAGCTTCTCCACCGTGGCCTTCAGAGGGTTGGCCTACTTCTCCGGGCTTTGATTCCTCACCTGTAAAATAGGTAAAGGTTATTATTGGGGTTTGAACTCAGGGCCTTGTACTTGCTAGGCAGGCATTCTACCATTTAAGTCAGACCTTTTTGCTCTGGTCATTTCAGAGATAGGGTCTCACTTTTTGCCCAGGTTAGCCTAGACCTTGATCCTCCTGTTTTTATGCTTCCTGCTGTGGCTATGCCCAGCTTTTTTCTATTGAGACGGGGTCTTGAGAACTTTTTGCTGAGGCTGGCCTTGCACAGTGATCCTCCTGATCTCAGCCTCTCAGGCAACTAGGATTATAGGCGTGAGCCACCAGTGCCTGACTGGCATTGTTTAGGTATAATTTTTAAGATATTTATTAAATTAATAGATTGGTAACATCCTCCTTTTTATCTTTTTTCTTTCCCCCACCGTACTGACATTTGAACTCTGGGCTTTGCACTTGCTAGGTGGAAGCTCTACCACTGGAGCCATGCCTCCAGCCTTTCTTTAAAAAAAAAAATTATACAGCAGAGTTTATTGTGATATTTCCATACATGCAAATAATTTTTTTGGTCATATTCATCCCGTTACTGGTATTTTGGCATATTTTCTTCCAATCATTTTTCCTATTTATAGATTTTGTATTTGACATAACTGAGATAATATTTTATATATGCGTATATTTGAACACAATGTACATAGGAATGTCTATATGTGTATATGTACACGGGTACATACATATATAATATCCTGTTTTCGTTATATGTTATAATACTTTTTCATGTCACAATTGTTTCATGGACCTGATTTGGTTTTGGTGGTACTGGGGTTTGAACTCAGGACATTGTACTTGCTAGGCAGGTTCTCCACTGCTTGAGCCACACCTCCAGTCCATTTTGTTCTTAACCCCCCAGTTTGGGGACTTCTGGGTCCTGGGTGGGAGCTGAGGTGGTGGGAATCCTATTCTCTGCTTAGGGTTCTTGCACTTGTGGTCTCCCTCCTCCCCTTTTGTCCTAAGCTTTACCCTCTGTGTCCTCCCTGTATCCCCACTTCTGAGGACCCCCAGCCTCCCACCACACCCCTCAGCCAACCCCTGCTCCCCTGCTCCCCACAGCTTGGCCTTTCCTCTTTCCGCCCTCTAGAAATGCAGACTCTGCGCACAGCCCAGGCAGCTCTGGGCAAGGGCTGCCTGGCCAGCTCCTTCATCTGCGTGTACCTGTTCACGGGTGAACTGTACCCCACAGAGATCAGGTAGGCACACAGGGTTGGGGTAGTGCCTGGATGACAGCTGCGCTGCCCTCTGACACCAGTGCCCAGGCCTGTGGGTCCAGACCTTGCTGTTAACCTCCACATCTCCCACAGGCAGATGGGGATGGGCTTTGTCTCAGTCCACGCCCGCCTGGGAGGCCTGGCAGCACCCTTGGTCACCACTCTGGGGGAGTTCAGCCCAGTCCTGCCACCTGTGGTTTTTGGTGCCACCTCAATCCTGGCTGGACTGGCTATCACCTGCTTCCTGACTGAGACCCGCAATGTGCCGCTGGTGGAGACCATCGCTGAGATGGAGAGGAGGTGAGGTGTCTGGCACACTGTGGGGTATGGGGGCTGGGGTGAAGAGGGGGGCAACAGGCTGCAATTAAGGAGAAACACCTCCTGAGTAGCACGATCATCACAGGCTGTACACAAAACACCCAGCGATGTTCCCTCCCCCAATAATGAAGGAAGGTCAGAGAAAAGAAGACCAGGAGACGTGGACTGTGGGCTGGAGGTGAATCCTGGTGGTGATGTGGCAAGAGGTGCATGCAACTTGAAGCAAAGACAGGCTACTTTAGGGCCTTGAACTTGGCTCTGAGCATCTTGGTACCAGAAAGGATGATCCCGTTGTTCTCATCCCACAGAGAAAGGAACACCAGCTCCCTAGGGGAGGTGGAGCTTTTCTTAGCTGTTAGCCTAGAAGTTTCTCTCCTTAGAGAGGTTGCTGAGAGAGGCAACAGCAATGCTCAGGCTGATAGTTCTAAAATAAACTCAGGAGGGAATGTGAGCCAGGCTACGGTGGCTCACGCCTGCAATCCTAGCTACTCAGGAGTCAGAGACTAGCAGGAATGAGGTTTGAAGCCAGCCCAGGCAAAGAGTTCACGAGACCCTATCTTGAAAAACCCATCACAAAAAAGGGTTGGTGGAGTGGCTCAAGGTGTAAGCTCTGAGTTCAAGCCCCAGTAAAAAAAGAAAAAAAAATTAGTTAAAAAAAAAAAAAAAAAAGAGGGCGTGTGATTTGCTTCAGCGTTTCTCAACAACAGTGAGCTCGGTGAAGACCCTTAGTGTTGGGAGGGGGGGGGGGGGGGGGGGGGGGGGGGGGGGGGAGGGGGAGGGAATGTCAGTGCAAGCCATGAGCTGTTTTCCTAACCCTTGGGAAGAAAGTTACTGACATCTCTTCCAAACACTTTGCTGTGTGATGAAGTGTATTTCTTCTACGTGAGATTTTCTCCTACATAAACACAGTACAACCACCAAAATCAGAAATCTGGTATTGATACAGGAGCCAATTTCCTGCAACAATGTCCTGTGAACAAGGGAGCCACAGTGGTTCTAGTTGTCTCCTTTTCCTCAGGCAACACCAGGGTCTCAGGTGTGCTTTGACTATGACTCCCACAGTTTCATAAGGTGTTTTTTTCTTTTTATAAATAAAGTGTATTTTAATTTATTTTATTTATATTTTTGGTGGCACTGGGATTTGAACTCAGGGCTTTGAGCTTGCTAGGCAAGAGCTGTACCACTTGAGCCACCCTGGGCCTTCATAGGGTTGTTTTTGTTTGTTTGTTTGTTTTTGTAGTACTAGGCCTTGAACTCAGGTCCTTCACCTTGAGCCACCCTGACAGTCCTTTTTGTGATGGATTTTTTTGAGATAGGGTCTCATGAACTGTTTGCCCCGGCTGGCTTTGAACTGAGATCCTCCTGATCTCTACCTTCTGAGTAGCTAGGATTACAGACATGAGCCACCAGCACCCAGCCTTTTTGTTTTGTTTTGGCAATACTAGGGTTTGAACTCAGGGCCTCACATTTGCTAGGCAGAAGCCCTACCATTTGAGCCAACCCGCCAGCCTGCCAGCCCTTTTTACTGATGGGTTTTTTGGAGATAAGGTCACCTGGACTATTTGTCTGGGACTGGCTTTGAACTGTGATCTTCTGATCTCTGCCTCCTGAGTAGCTAGGATTACAGGCATAAGGTGCCCAGCATTTCACAGGGTTTTTATCACGGCAAAAACCTCAAAGTCCACTTATATGAATCCCTCATGAGACAAAGGATACAATGCAGCAGAGGAAGAGAACACAGGCACCCATGGGGGGCACCAGCCACACCTCCCAGGGGCCCCACTTGGTCCCAGCATGCATTGTGACTCCACCACAGACTCTCAAGCTGGATGGAAGGCATCTCCAGCTCAGGGAAGCCAAGGCACCCATTTGCTGAGGATTTTTTATTTTTGTTTTTTCCTGCCTCATCAGTCACAGCCCAAAGCAGGCTGTATGACCAGGTAGACCAGGCGCAGACCATTGTTATAGTTCTAGAAATGATGTCGACAAGCTGCAGAGCTGCCTTCAGGGAGACTCAGACCCTGGCAGCACGTTACAAATCACATTTTTGTCACCCTTGTCTTGACTTATGTCAGTGTCCTGGCTCCAGGCATCTTGAGATGAGCACAGAGGTCCACAGACCAACAATGACCTTGACAGATTTTTTTTTTTCTTTTTTTGGTGCACCGTTCCTAGAAGTACTGCAATACCAGGCCGATGCGTGGAGTGAACGGAGCAAGCTCCTGTTCCATCTCCTATTTCCAAAAATCCATTTAATATATTGTCCTCGGATAGAGGACGTATCAGATATTAAACTGATAAGAACAGATACTACACTTGATCTTAGCCAAAAGGCCGAGAAGCGATTGACCTTGACGGCTTGGAAGATTATAAAGCAGTTCTTTTGCAGATTTCCCCTTGGGGGGGCTTGCTGAGGTTGGGGGTTTCAACATACACATCTCTGGCAGGGGCACAGGAATGCTGCTGCAGCCTTCTTGTTGCGTTCTTGGTTTGGATTTGTTTCATGGCCTCTGATGTCTCCCTTATCCCTTGATTCCAGTGCTGTCTGCCACGCTTTGCCACTGTAAAGTTACTTTTTTCCCTTTTGGAATTTATAAATATGTTGTGAAGAATGTACTTTGAAACTAGGTAAATATTTCATCCTCAATACCTTCAATTTCTTATTTATATCAAGGTTTTTTTTTTTTTTTTGCAGTACTGGAGTTTGAACTCAGGGCCTCACACCTGCTAAGCAGGTGCTCTACCACTTGAGCTACTCCACCAGTCCTTTTTTGCTCTAATTATTTTTCAGATAGGGTCTTGCATTTCTGCCTGGAGCCAGTCTCAGACAACGATTCTCCTACCTATGCTTTCTGCATAGCTGGGATCACAGGTACACATTACCAAACCAGCTTATTTGTTGAGATGGGGTCTTGCTAACTTTTGCCCAATTTGGCCTTGAACCTTGATCCTCCTGATCTGTGCCTCCCAAGCAGCTGGGACCACAGACTCAAGCCATTGCACCTAGCTTATTGTTTGAGATGGGGTCTCACTAACTTCATTCTCTGCCTCCCAGAATACAGCTGTGAGTCACTATGCCTGGCCTTGAGTCAGGCCTTTTGAACTCTTCTTTAATTACTCTCCACATAGTTCCTGCTATGTGCCAGATTCAGAGCTAAGTGTGGGATGTAGAATGATATCAGTGTAATCTCTGCCCTTTGGGAGCTCACAGAGTAACAGAGACACAGAGGAAAAAGTACTCACAAATCAGTAGGGGCAATGTGGAGACTACGTGAGTGGCTGGGGTTACACCAGATTTGAGGAAGAGGAGAAAGAGGAGTTCTCCAGGCTGAGAAGGGGAAAAGCATCACCCTGGAGGAAGGAACAGCCTAGGAAGCCCCCGGGTCCTAAAGAACTGGGACTCCCTGAGTGTCAGCCGGCAGCCAGCACATTGAGATTTTAGGCTCTTATTTTAAGTCAAGTCAATGTAGAATCCATCACAGGGCATGGAGGAAGGAGTTGATACAGTCTCAGTTACAGATTTTCTTCTTTTTTTTGCAGTGCTGGGGCTTGAACTCAGGGTTTACACCTTGAGCCACTCTGCCAGCCCTTTTTTGTGATGTTTGTTCTTTCGAGATAGGGTCTTGCCAGCTGGCTTTGCCCAGGCTAGCCTTGAACCGTGATCCTCCTGATCTCTGCCTCCTGAATAGCTAGGATTACAGGCATGAGCCACTGGCTCCCAGCTTCCTTTTATTTATTTATTTTTATAGTGTTTTTGTTTTTATTTTTTGCAGTGCTAAAATCAAACCCAAGGCCTCAAGCATGCAGAAGTGTTCTAGCAGTGAACTCCATCCAGGCCCCAGAGTCCATCTTCCATAGATCTTTCCTTAGCATTGTTCAATCTCAGCCCTAATAGGGTCCGCCTAGGTCTAAGCTACCAAACAGTGTTTGCTTCTTTATTTCAGGTAACTCAGTTAGGTTTATGTGTCAGCGATCTGGAGCGACACAGCAAAGGAACAGTTGACTGACTGTGTTCAAAAAAGTCTTTTATGTAAGACTAGGACGGTCACAAAGGAGGAAATGAAAATAGGAAGTAAGCAGAACAAAAATATGTACCTCAGTCAGAATCAAAGAAATGCAAACTTTAAAAGGAGCTCTGGGGACTGGCGGCTGTGGCTTAGTGGTAGAGCACTTGTGTAGCATGCATGAGATGCTGGCTTCCATCCCAACGTGGCAAAAAAAAAAAAAAAAAAGGAAAGAAAGAAATGGAGTTTTCATTTTTAAAATATTCAGTAAGAAAAGATTTTAAAACATAGTTGTAGCCTGGTGCCAGTGGCTCATGCCTGTAATCCTAGCTACTCAGGAGGATCAAGGTTCGAAGCCAGCCCCGGGCAAATAGTTCATGAGACCCTATCTCGAAAAAACCCATCACCAAAAAAAGGGCTGGTGGAGTGGCTCAAGGTGTAGGCCCTGAGTTCAAGCCCCAGTACTGCCAAAAAACCCCCACATAGGTATAATGGTCAGTGAAGGGGCATGAGTGGATAAGAGGACAAAGAGGAGCCCGTAGTCTTCCTGGAAACTTCTTTGTCATTAATGATCATGATGGTGAAAATTCTCTTGCTCTTCTAAGTAGCAATAATACTTACAGGAATTTGTCTTGAGAAAATAAACTAACACGTGAGCATGGCTTATATATAAAAATATTTTGTCACTGTGTCTAAGATACCAGGAAAAAATAGACTCTCTAAAAATCTAACAATTTAAACAAATGCTGTTGTGGAGGTAGTTAAAAGTTATGTTAAAGAGTTTTTGGTTTTTTTGTTTTTTGTGGGTCTTGGGTTTGAACTCAGGACTTTTTGCTCACTAAGCAGGTGCTATACTGCTTGAGTCACAACTCCAGTCCTTTTTGCTATGAAGAGTTTTAAATGACATGGAGAATGTTTACAAATACTCTTAAGCATTATATTAAAATTACCTATGACATTTTCTTAATTATGTCATCAAATAAGAGAAGACATATGTTAACATTGTGACAGTGGTTGCTTCAAAGTACAGACAATGTTTTGGGCTTTTTCATGACAGCTTTACATTTTCAAAAGTATCTCCAAATTCCCTATATTGAGCAGGTGTCCTTTGGCCATGAGAGGGAAAAGGCACACTGTGTGTGGTGTGTGTGTGGTGTGTGTGGTGTGTGTGGGGTGTGTGTGGGGTGTGTGTGTGGTGTGTGTGGGGTGTGTGTGGTGTGTGTGGTGTGTGTGGTGTGTGTGGTGTGTGGTGTGTGTGTGGTGTGTGTGGTGTGTGTGTGTGGTGTGTGTGTGTGGTGTGTGTGTGGTGTGTGTGTGGGGTGTGTGTGTGGTGTGTGTGTGTGGTGTGTGTGGTGTGTGTGTGGTGTGTGTGTGTGGTGTGTGTGTGGTGTGTGTGGTGTGTGTGTGTGTGGTGTGTGTGGTGTGTGTGTGTGGTGTGTGTGTGTGGTGTGTGTGGTGTGTGTGGTGTGTGTGGTGTGTGTGGTGGTGTGTGGTGTGTGTGTGTGTGTGGTGTGTGTGTGGTGTGTGGTGTGTGTGTGTGGTGTGTGTGTGTGTGTGGTGTGTGTGTGTGTGTGTGTGGGGGGGTGTGTGTGTGGGGTGTGTGTGGTGTGTGGTGTGTGGTGTGTGTGGTGTGTGGTGTGTGTGTGTGTGTGTGGTGTGTGTGGTGTGTGTGTGGTGTGGTGTGTGTGTGGTTGTGGTGTGTGTGGTGTGTGTGGTGTGTGTGTGGTGTGTGTGTGTGGTGTGTGTGGTGTGTGTGTGTGGTGTGTGTGGTGTGTGTGTGGTGTGTGTGGTGTGTGTGTGTGTGGTGTGTGTGTGTGTGTGTGTGTGTGGTGTGTGTGTGGTGTGTGTGGTGTGTGTGTGTGGTGTGTGTGGTGTGTGTGGTGTGTGGTGTGTGTGTGGTGTGTGTGGTGTGTGTGTGTGTGGTGTGTGGTGTGTGTGTGGTGTGTGTGTGGTGTGTGTGTGTGGGGGGTGTGTGTGTGGTGTGTGTGGGGGGTGTGTGGTGTGTGGTGTGTGGTGTGTGTGTGTGTGTGTGTGTGTGTGTGTGTGTGTGGTGTGTGTGTGTGTGTGTGTGCTGCTGGGGATGAACCCAGCAGGCCCATGCTAGGCAAATGCTGCACCACTGAGCTACACCGCCCACCCCACCATTTTAAAAAATTATAAGAATCAATCAGGTAGTTTCTCAGCCATGGCAGCCCTCTTCAGGTCTAGAATGGGAGAGATAATGGTGTTCCCCAAAGCCTGCCAGATGGTGGAAAGACGCAGAAAAAAGGCAGCATGGCCAGAGAAGTGTCCAGAGCTCCATCAGCTTTCCTTCCTTCACAATTGACAAGACCAATTGTGTTCAGGACAAAATTCAAAGCCTGGAAGGTCTAAAGGACAGAACAAAAACACAAACAGTACAAGAGGAAGAGAATCTGCAATGTGAGGAAATCACCATACCTGAGTGCCAGTGGCTCACACCTATAATAATCCTAATCCCAGCCACTTGGGAAGCAGAGATCAGGAGAACTGTGCTTTGAGAACAGACCAGAAAAATAGTTTGTGATCCCCCATCTTGAAAATACTCAATATAGGCAGGTGCTGGTGGCTCATGTCTGTAATCCTAGCTACGAGGGAGGCAGAGTTCAAAACCAGCCCCAGGCAAATAGTTCATGAGCCCCTATCTCAAAAATAATCAACACACAAAAAAAGGGCTGGCAGAATGATTCAAGTGGTAGAGTGCCTACCTACCAAGCATGACACCCTGAATTCAAACCCCAGTACTGCAAAAAAAAAAAAAAGGAAAAGAAATCACCCCAAAAAAGATAAAATTAAAACAAACCATAATGAAATTAACCCCTAAACAGGAATAGAAATAGAAAGTTCAAAGGTAAGGATAAAAATCTCTGCAAAATTAAGGCAGCATAGATAGGATAAGGTGAGAGGGAAATTAGAAAAAAATCAAGAAGTAAAAAACAAGCCAGATTTAGGAACTGAGAGAATACTAGGAACTAAAGCTGAAAATCATTGCAGCAGCAAGGAATTGAAAAGTAATAGAAAGAGAATAGAAATAGAAAGTAATTCTCTGACCAGAAAGGAATGCCCACAAAGGTAATAACAAACCCATCCTACACCTTAACTCCATGCTTGGGAACTTAGAAGTGTGAATAAAAGCTACCATGTGACATGACCACTTACCTAGGAAGAGTTTAAACTGATTCACTAGTTCAGTCTAGAGGGTATAGATACACCTGGGATGAGGACCGCCATTTTGAACCTCTTTGCATCCCCCCAACCTCTGTGTTTTCCTCTTTCCCTTTCTATTTCTCACTGCTTTGCTAAATATTTGCTAACCTTTCATTTTATAAATTTCCTTTTTTGTGAACCCCGGGAAATACTTTTCATCATGGATTTCAAGAGCCTGTGATCACATAGAATTTGGGGAGCTGAATCAAGGACTCCCCTTTCTCTTTCATCAGGGATCCTGCTTGTCCCAAAAGCTTTCCTGGTGACAGAATGTTGGAACATGGACAAAGATCTAAAAATAGAGCCATCTAAAAATAGACAAGAGAAATGTGCACCATAGGTAAATGATTACAACAAGAAAACAAGATTTTCCGTTTGCTTTTTTAGAGTCAAGGAAGGCCCTTCCAGGAAAGATGCAGAAGAGAAGAGTGAAGAAATTTCTCTTCAGCAGCTGGGGGCTTCTCCCCTCAAAGAAACCATCTAAGCTGTCAAGAGCCTGGCACTAGGCCCACAGCAGCTCAGCTGGTGTCCTGACTGTCCTCATCCCAGGTTTCTCCTGAGGGTACTGGGGAATGCTGAACTCCAGGCCAAAGGCAGCAGAAAAGCCATCATGGCTAAGCCAGAGAGCTCCCCTCTCCCCCAGCCAGGGCTGGTGCTGCTTGGAAGGAAACCCAAAAATCTTCATTACAAATGTGAAGAAAGACAAGAGAGCCACCTCCCAGGGATCTGAAGAGATTGCTCTCCATAGCAATCAAAGTACTCTTCGCTTCCCTGTTCCCCACATCTGCCCCTTAAGTGTCTCTGTTTACTCTGGTTCCACCTGAGAGCCCTCTGTCCTTTCCAGGACTAGGGCGACAACTCTACCACAGGGCTGTCTCTGGCTCAGCTGCACTTGAGCCTAAGGAACTTCCACAACCCATTCTGCTCCACTCATTTGGAAAGAGTAAAGACTCCTCCCGGCCTCTTGGGACCACAGCTCCTGGGTGGCAGTGCCTTCTTGCCTACCTTTGTAGCCCCAGCAGCCCCGCCCCTCCTAGTGGACCTTACTGATGGTACAATAAACCGTTGAGTAAATGTGAGAGCAGACTTGGGTAGTGAACAGAGACCTTTCCAGAAATGGAATTTGGAAGTCTTATGGGGGAAAAGCCGTGCCATGGCGCAGTACCCCTGTGACCTCAGGTCCGTGTCCATCCCAGACTTTGAACGTGTGCCTGCATCTCTGACCTTGACTTTCAGAAGTCAGAATAGATTCACAGGGGTTCCATCTTGGCCCATTGTGTAGCCTTGGTCAAATTTTCTTGTCTTATCCTTCTCTATTGGAATCCCCATGACATCAGTGCTCAGCCCCTACAGTCCAAAGAGCAGCACAACAAGGGAAAGAAGTAGGAATGTCACCATTTGGACAAGAGCCTTTGCAACCTGTCATTTCTCCAAGATAAGTCTTCCAGCCACTTATACCTTGGAAGAGAGCTTGAATGTGACTCCCCAAGGAGTGCCCTCAAGACTCTGGAGTTGAGCAGGGTGTGACTCAGTGGTACAGCTGAGTGGTACAGCACAACGCCCTGAGTTCCATCCCCAGCACTGCCCCATCTCCTCTCCACCCCCAAGTTCTGCCAAAACAAAACAATAAAAACCTCCTAGTTAGTGGGTTAGTTGCCATGTGGTTAGTTAGTGAGTTTGAGTTCCCAGGTCAAGGTAAGACATAGCTTCAAGTGAAGAAATCTGATTTCTTTAACAAATATTCTGAGCGTGAGGCTTCCTACCACAGGCATAAATGATGTTGAAGTTACAGGTTGTAGTCCACGGAATAAAACCATAAAGCCTTTCACTACTCTTACCCTTTCTAGCCAGAAACAGTGCCCAGGAACCAGTCAATGGAGGCAAGTTGCCAATGGTACATACACTGAGCTGTTTGACTCCGCTCGGCTGGTGCCCCTACAATAATATTTTTTTATTTTATTTTTTGGTGGTACTGGGGTTTCAACTCAGGGCCTTGTGCTTGGTCTACCACTTGAATTGCATACCAGCCCCTTTTGCCCAGACCACCATTCTCCTATTTACCCCTCCAGAGTAGCTGGGATGACAGGTGTGTGCCACCGCACCCAGCTTTTATTGAGATGGGGTTTCAGGAACTTTTTTGTGGATTGGCTTTGAACTGAGATCCTCCTGATGTCTGCCTCTGGAATAATGAGGATTATAGGCATGAGCCACCAGGCCTGGCCTTCCCCCATTACAAAAATCTTTGTGGTAACTGACAAATAGCATTCAGACTATTTACTTTTACACCCCAAAGGCTCTGACTAACTAGTGGGTTTCATTTTCAAGAGTGCCTGTGACATATCTTCCGGACATCTCTAACTTCCTTAGTATTATTGGGCCTCGTGGTTGTAGGCAGACAGCTCACGAAAGTGCCTGGATGCTCCAGTATACCAACAATTGTGTGGGCCTGGGTCGTGCGCAGATCAGCTGAATTAAAAGTTCACAGTGGGTGGGTGTGGTGGTGCACGCCTGTAATCCAGCTTCTTTGGTCGCTGCTTTGCTTGCTGGGTGGATATGTGTAATTGTGGATATTGATGATAATAATTGTGAACATGAGGTGAAAGCCCCCGGGTTCACGGGTGGCCCTTGAAACACTATGCTAAGTGGAATAGGACATTCACAAGCAGACAGCGTACGATTGAACCCATGAGGTCCCAGCTTAGTCACCACCAGCCCTGGAGCAGGAATGGAGGGTGCTCTAAAGCACTGAGTGTTTTCCCAGGGCCTGAGTTTGCTGGGCAGGCACTCAAGCCCTGCCCCCAACCCTTTTCTTTTCTTTGCTTTAGTTATTTTTCAGATAGGGTGTCAAATTTTTACCTGGGGCTGGCCTCAGAGATCTGATCCTCCTACCTAAGCCTCCTAAGAAGCTGGGATTACAAACCCAGAAAATCTGGGTTTTTTTGTTGAGATGGGGTCTTTAACTTTTTTGCTCTGGTTGCCCTTGAACCTCAGCCCTCGAGATCTCTGCCTCCCAAGTAGCTGGGATTACAGACGTGCGCCACCTTACCCAGCTAGCCACTTTTTGACATTATTTGTCAACTAGGATTTTTTTATAAGTGTTATTTCACAAATATTTTAAGGCAAAGGTTATTTCACAAATATTTTAAGGCGAAGCCTAGCAGTATAACTCAGTGGCTGAGCCTAGAATACATAAAACCTGGGATTCCATCTCCAGCACACACACAAAAAAATTCAAGTTGTTGAGGTTTGTACTAGTCTGAATTTAGACTCTAGATTTATTTTATGTTACACAACCAGCTGCCACTAGCCACGTGTGACTTTTGAAATTGTAATTAAAATTAAATAAAATTTAAATTCAATTCCTCAAACCAGATGCTGGTGACTCACACCTGTAGCTGTTCAGGAGGCAGAGATCAGGAGGATCGTGGTTCAAAGTCAGCCTAGGCAAATAGTTCACAAAACCCTATCTTGAAAACACCCATCACAAAAATAGGGCTGGTGGAGTGGCTCAAGGTGTAGGCCCTGAGTTCAAGCCCAGTACCACAAAAAAATTAAAATAAATAAATTCAACTTCTCAGTTTCTCTTGTCACCCTCCAAGTGCCCAATAGCTAGGTGGGACTCGAGGAGCCCATATCGGTAGAGATCTAGGACTTTCCTTTCATGGTCAAGGTGCTTCCCACCCAGCTGCGTGAGAACATGGTCATCACGCAGGGATGCTGGGGAGGCAGTGAAGCCTCGTCCATTTTGGGGTGGTGGTGGGGGCCCTCCTAGTGAATCCTAAGTGCCTTCAGCACACAAGTTTACAAGCAAATGAAGAACAGGAGTATTCCAGGTGCCTTCCCACAGCTTCTAGATGGAAGCTGCAAGAGAAATTCTGGCCAAGAGAGCACGACTATGCAAAATAAGCAAAACTCAAGTTTAAATAAGGCTCCCCGTGTTCTCTCCTCAGGCAGCCTTTGCCCTGCACTGCTCAAGGGCAACCCAAGGTCAGCTGTCATAGAACCCTAGTCCAGACCCAGCTGTGGAGAGGGAACCCAACCAGGACTGACTTGGCTCGTCCTTCCCCTGTTCCTCAGACCTGCAACAGGTCTCTAAGATGCCATGAGGATTCGAATTTAGTCCCCTGAGCCATCCAGGTCCACAGAAGAGCAGCAGCCCAACCGAGTGGTCCTGGCTCAAGAATGGGACCTTTGCCTGGCACCGGTGACTCACGCCTGTAATCCTAGCTACTCAGGAGGCGGAGATCAGGAGGATCATGGTTCGAAGCCAGCCCCAGGCAATTAATTCCCCAAGACCTTATCTTGAAAATACCTAAAATAAAAAAGGGCTGGTGGAGTGGCTCAAGGTGTAGGCCCTGAATTCAAGCTCCAGTACCATAAAACAACAACAACAACAACAAAAAGTGGTCAAGAATGGGACCTTCTAAAAAAAAAAAAAAAAACAAAAGAAGAATTGGACCTTCTGACCTTATCTGGGACTGTGGACATAGTGACATCCCAGGCATGTAACCTGCGCAGTCCAGGGCTGGTGCTCAAACAGGCCCAACATTTAGTTTAAGGCACTACTGCTGCCATTTTGAAATCCCCAATCATTTTTGAACAACTGGATGTTGTTCCAGCATGAGGCTGGATCTTTTCCATGGAAGGTATTATCTGTGAGCAGAATCCAAGGAGCAAGGAAGTAGGGATGTGGAGGGTAGATGAGGCGCAGGGGTGGAGGCTGGGGAGCACGTGTGAGCACAGGCTGCCCTGCTTGCCTTTGAGAGTTTCAAGGGCTACAGAAAGGAGCAGTTCCCACCTTGCATGGCCAGCTCACTCTGTAATAGCAACTGCTTTTGCTGAGAAGCACTGACACCTTACTTAGGCCCACAATTTAACTAAAAGCAGGAGAAAAACTTGGCCTCTCTGCCTCCATTTTACCTGTCTCCTTTTCTCTGAGTCGTTCTCTCCTGCAGTCACCAAGGGTTCCAGGAAGAACAGGATTGACTGATAATATCTTTATGAAAAGGAACCAAAACTACCCCCAAGAAAAGAAACAGCAGAACCTCACAGGACAGACCACCCCCCAAAGGAGGACAACTTCCTATAATCATGAGCCCACACCCTGGAGCAGAAGTTACTCATCTCATGAGAACCAAATTGCTCCCCTCAAGTGATGACAGCGGTGACGACTTCTCCAGAACCCTCACAGAACCAGAACTCAGAGGATGACTGACTATGCTGAACTGTTTAATTTTTCACACCTCTCTCCCCCTGCCCCAATTCTTCCTCTGGTTAAACCTGAAACTCATAGCTGTACCCTGAGGATGGACCAAGGGCTTATTTTGCCTGTTCATGTGATGTGACCACGCCACAAAATAAATCTTCTTCATTGTTTGTCATATTGAGGGAGTGACCAAATCCAAGCTGTAGGAACCCCTGAAGTTGAGTTCTGCCTAGAGCTCCTGGTTACATCTCCAGCCACTAAAACTGGGGGTCCAGACT